TAGGAATTTCTGAGTAAATTCTATCAATTATGCCTGTGTGAGGGACACTATTCTTACTCCAAAGATTTAGGGTCTTGAGTCTGATGGCAGCTAAAGTCGCTTCTTGTTGTATATGTAGATGAAGCGGAGTTAGCTCCAGCATCGCTTCCAAGGCTGCTGTTGGCGTAGTTCTTATGCAGCCTGTGGCAGCCATACATGCCAGTCTCTGGTAGCGCTGAAGCTTCTTAATTGTGGTGGCTTCATTGGTCTTGGTCCACCATACCAGAGCGCCGTATGTGATCATGGGCCGGATTACAGTTTTGTAAAGCCACAGTATGATTTTTGGCGTCAGTCCCCATCTTTTGCCAATCATGTTTCTGCATTGCCAGAAAGTTATACTAGCTTTGTTGATTTTGTTTTCTATGTGTTTATTCCAGTTAAGTTTGCTGTCCAAGGTAAAACCTAAATATTTTACCTCAGAGGATAGTTGGAGTTTTGTGCTGAAAAGACTTGGAAGATGATAGTTATTCAGCATTCGTTTTTGTGTGAACATTACTAAAACCGTTTTATTTGGGTTGACGGTTAAGTCGTATTCCCCTGCACCATCTCTCCACTATACGGAGAGCCGCTTGGGTCAGGTCGCACACTATGCTAGCTGTCTTTCCCGAGACCAGTATAGTCAGGTCATCAGCATAACCTACTGTATAAAAGTGATTAGTATTTAATTTGCTGATGAGTTCATTAATGACCATATTCCACAGGAGAGGTGAGAGGACCCCACCCTGCGGGCAACCTTTCTTAATTAGGATTGGTTGAGATTCACCAGCAATCTTTATTATTCGTGTACTGAGCATGCAAACTATCCAGTCGATCAGTGTCGATTCAACTTTATGTCTACTGAGTGCACCTTTTATGCTGGAGAAGTTTGTTCTGTCAAAAGCACCTTCTATATCTATGAAGGAGCCTAGACATATTTCTTTGTTTTGGATGGCCCCTTCAATCTTTTTTGTATGATAACGGTGACAGAAGAGCATATAGTCCACCTGATGATAAGTGGATGCTGATACATGACACTAAACGAGAAATGCAACACTTTTTCGTGGAAACGGATGTAAACGAGCATACGGCACATCTGTAACACCAGGGCAGGTGCGTTGCCGGGTTGATGGAAAGGAGTAGGCTCTTTTCTTGAAGGTCTCTGATGCCCGATTGTTGGGTAGTTTACTACTGCTATATTATGAAAATCTCATGCATATAAAGTCTGCTTCTTGATTAAAATTACTTTTACGGATTTTATCGCGTTTAATTTTACTTTTAATTATTTTTATTTTTAATTCCCGACGTTTCGGGCGCTTTCCAGCACCCATGGTCACGGGGGACTGAAGTGACTGACGTCTCGATGTCATTGTTAAACCCGGAGTACCTTCAGCTTTTTAAATTATTGTTTATAGTCCGATCTATGCAAAATGAACCGACTATGTCCTGAGGTCTTGCAGTGGTATGCTTGGGTTTAGTTTTAATTTTATTGATTATAGGGTCCCAAGCAGGTGGGTAGTACCCAGCCTTCTCTATTGAAATTAGGATGTTTTTTAATTTCAATAGCCTCACGTATCATCCTTGGTAGGAATCGGTGTTTTATCGCGAAGATTTGTGGTTTATCAAATCTGATGCAATGGTTGGGGCCGTCTAGGATATGATTACAAATTGCAGACTTCCCGGAACGTTGAAGCTTCACGTCATCTATATGTTATGGTATAGAACCATGCTGCAGATATATTGTGGTTGCAGCAGGAATGGGTCGGCTTGACCGGGGTACGCTCGCTCTCACAGAATACCAGCTTAAGACGACACATTGAAAATAAACGATTAAAATGGCTCCGCCTATTCCACCCCGCGCCCCGCTTGCGACACTCGTCACTCGGTTCCTAAAATTTCAAACTCGCGCCAAATGCTCAATCGGAGGTCAACGTGCGATATACAGAAAGGAACAAGCAAGCGTCGGAGTCGCGACACACTATCATTTTTAATGTTTTGCATCATTTATTGTCTTGTATAATAAAATGTAACTGTATATGTCATTGTTGTTGTCGTCATGTTAGTTTATCAAAAGAGAAATCAACAAAGCTTATATTTTTTTATTTATTGAAATAATAACTAAGTCATAATTTTTAAAACTGATATATTGTATAACAGAATTTGTAACTACGTTTTTAATGATATTATATTCCTCTTCTTTTTTAGGGCCATTATGCACATTTTCTTTATTTTTCTTTTTTATTACATTATTTGGATCCCGAATTTGTTTATTACGAGTAAGTCGCGGTTCTACCAATTCCGGTAGCAAGCAGTGAAAATAAAATGAAAGTAGTTTTTCTCCATTTTATCCTTCCAAAATTGGTCATCCTTTACTATTGTTTCCACTTTGATTTAATAACGTCTATACCATACTTCCAATAAGCATTTAGATATTTCGGAAATATGCACCTGTCTTTGAACTTGCATGTACCAATCGGAATTTTTGTTCACCTGGATCACACCACTTTTTTTATTTACCCGCCAGAAATGCATTTTTTCGTGTAATATGACTTCGTCAATACCAACCTTGTATGTAATTATGGGACATGTGATTTCAAACAGGGTATTACTTCCTATAAAACTGTCAGGCGTTGCTCCTAAAACTGGATGATTTTTGTCTATGAATAAACGACAAGGGTCTAGTAAATTTGATATTTTTTACTGTACTAGCGCAACTGTTGGTTTTAATTCTTGTGACAATCTTCCCAAAATTGAAGGTTGCAATAATAGAAAAAAAAACTCGTTAATGTCACTAAGAATAATATAGAGCACAGTCACAGCGTCTCCATCGGATTACTGTCCTAATAGTGCGTATTGAGTTGTATAACGACCAACAGAATGTGACCTCCACCGACGTACAAAGCTTAGGTCGAAGCAGGCAAGCTTATAGTGGATATTACAAGAGTGGAGTGCCGATTCCTTATCTAGATATACGGCCAGTATATGGATGTTGTCAATATACCTATATAGGTAGCATTTAGTCAAATTTCATGTTTTATTCCCGCAAAAAATAACTAAAATGCAGCTATAAGCAACCACGCGTAGAAAACCTAATGATTCAAGTGTCATTTAACGTGGTGGAGTCATGCTGCAGTTATATTATGTATTAGTAGTTGTAGCACGAATGGGCCTGCTCGTCCGGGGAAAGACCACGCTCTCACAGAATACTAGCGTAAAATAGTAACGTAATTCTGTTGTTTCGTATGGTGAGTGTAGAGAACCGGAGACACTTTTTACTGGAAACGAGGCATTCCATCTTAGTCTTCACGGGTGACAACATTACGAGATTACGAATCAAAATGCAGATGAAAATGCAGATCAAAATGCAGACTTTTACGTGGTAGCGCCATACTGCAGTTATATTAGTAGTATATTATTATATTATAGTTGTAGCACGAATGGGTCGCCTCGACCGGGGAAGGACCACGCTCTCACAGAATACCAGCGTGAAATAGTAACTTAATGCTCCTGTGTTTTGTATGGTGAGTATAGAGAATCGGAGACTTTTTACTGGAAAAAAGGCATTCCATCTTAGTCTTCAGGGCTGGCAACGCATCTGCATTTAGATTTTTAATTGAAGATAAATGTAGATGTCTATGGGCCACAGCACCCACTTACCATCAGGTGGAGTTTGTGCTGGTTTATCACCTTCATTCTATAAAAAAAGAACTTCTTTAGTCGACTCCGAGCGGGCGAGAAGACTAGTTCTTTGATTTATAAAACGCGAAGATTGTATTCGACATTCTAGCACTGTTTTTTTTAATTTGAAAAAAATATTGTCATTTAGATGCGCTCATAGTCAGTGTGATTTGGAGATTAAGATTTCAGATAAATTTGTTTATTTAAGTTAAAGTATGGGACTTTATTTCATATTTGCCTAAAAACAGTAACTGTCGTAAATGACAAGTGGTAAAATTAAAAAAAATTGTACAACCGACTTCAATACAAATAAAATGAGAACATCATCAATGTAGTCCATGTTAATTAAATATGCGTTATTAAGGATAACTCAAAAACTCCTAATTAGATCTTGATCAAATTTATATGAACACATGAAAAGCATCAGCTTTCATAAAAAAAACGACGGGTTGCACTCCTGGAGTGCCGGCAGAAGTGATAACTTGAATATTAACGTTGTGCATTTTTGATATTTTGGAATGGTTAGGGAATAATTTTGCACGAATTGCTTTAATTATCAGTATAAAGGTACTATCATTTATGAATACAATATTTATTTATTGCGCTATCATACACAAACATGACAATTTATATTACATTAAAAAGTTTATCTTCTCCTACGCCGCGCCGGCTGTCTACTCTCCATCCGTCTTACGAATTTTCGATCAGGTCACGTGTCCTGACGCGAGTTTAACATTTTTTACCCATTACAAAAAGTGTACAACGCCGCTAAAGAAGTTTTCGTCTTACGAATTTTCGATCAGGTCACGTGTCCTGACGCGAGTTTAACATTTTTTACCCATTACAAAAAAGTGTACTACGCCGCTAAAGAAGTTTTCGTCTTACGAATTTTCGATCAGGTCACGTGTCCTGACGCGAGTTTAACATTTTTTACCCATTACAAAAAGTGTACAACGCCGCTAAAGAAGTTTTCGTCTTACGAATTTTCGATCAGGTCACGTGTCCTGACGCGAGTTTAACATTTTTACCCATTACAAAAAAGTGTACAAACAACGCCGCTAAAGAAGTTTTCACTTCAAAAAGAATTTAGTTTATCATTAAAAAAATACAGTCGAATTGAGATCTTCCTCTTTTTGAAGTCAGTTGAAAATGCAACTGTTTGGCATGTTTAACCGTGCTACCGTGCCGACCAGCTCAGCCGGCGCCCGCGCGATCCATAGCTGTGACACGGTTTTTGTATTGGATTGCCGGTCTAGTAGGATACATAAAAGAGGCTGTTAATGTAATGTTGGCGGTGGTGGCGGCAGGTGATAGCGGGGCGCGACCAGCAGCAGAACGAGCTTGTAGTGAAGCGGCACCTGCGCGCCGGCGACGTGTACGTGCACGCCGAGCTCAGCGGCGCCGCCTCCGTCGTGGTTAAGAGCGCGGCGCGCGGCCCCGTGCCGCCGAGGACTCTCGCGGAGGCTGGGCTCGCGGCCGTTGGATACAGGTCAGACCATACATTTTTATATAATATAAACTGACGTTAGGACATGCAAAGGAAAAAGAGTGTAGTGTATGCGGAGCAGTGCGACGCAGCCTCCGTCGTGGTGAAGAGCGCGGCGCGAGGTACCGTGCCGCCGTGAATTCTCACGTAAGGTGATCCAGTTGCACTTGGATACAGGTCAGACCCTCATCTTTTCTGCCATTTGGAAGTCCCCCCCCCCCTAGAATAAGGGTGACAAACGGGCACACAGTCCACCTAATGGTAAGTGGATACTGTGGCCCATAGACATCTACATCTATTTTCGATAAAAAAAAACAAAATAAAGATGCGTTGACACCCCTGAGGTCTAAGATCTAATGCATCGCATCCAGTAAAAATCATAGAATTTTAAATGGGGTGCATTTAAAAAAAAAAGATTAAAATACTCTCGCAGAGGCCAGACTAGCCGCCCTCAGATATAGTTCACATCCTCATTTCATTTTTAACCCGTTTTTATTAGCACACGTGTATCTATCTATCCACCTATCTATGTAGAGGAATCTTTCCAATCAATTCAGTACAGTCCAAAGTTTAATTTTTTGAGTTCACTTCTTTGGACGGTTCTCCCAACCTCAAGGTAACGCCGAAGTGACGTGTGAGGGACGTAAAAATCTAAGGTGATAAAATAAAATCTAATTTTAAGTTAGAGGTTTAGTAATTTATTTTATTGGTAAGTTAGTTTTGTAGCATATATAAATAAAAGGTTTAAAATAAAATAAAGTTTTAGTTTTATGCACAAGCAGCCTTTATTTATGAAATCACAATATTTCCATAATTACTTTTAGGGACTTACTTCAGTCCTTCTTTTTCTGTTATTATTTATGAAAATCAACTTAAAAACATTTATCAAAATATAATACAATTTAAAACTCATAACTAAATCAATAAAAAATGACAGCACCTCAATCCAAGCGAAGGTCACTGGGACAATTAGCAGTCACCACGTACTTGTATGTATGCAACAAGTAAGGCACATGGGCTTACTTATTACAAGAATACTTTGTACGTCTTTTTATTATTATTATGGGGTATCTATATAGTTTTCTCATCTGGTTGGGTGCTATAAATATATAATTATAAATGAAAATGAAAAGACAAATATACATAAATATCAATAACATAAAATAAATATAAAAGTACATAAATAAATAAAAGCCCAACCAGATGGAGGCCCTCGGCAGGGGAGACCAAACGGCCGAGGGTTAGGGGGAAAGGGAAAGAAACCGGCGGACGATGCGGGCGGTATCGAGGAGCACCGCCTTCTGCATTTGAACCTGGAGCGGTCCGCCACGTAGTCCCAGCCGCCTCAGATGACCCGAGAGGCTGATTATTATTACTTATTATTATTATTATTATTTATTTCATTATTCAGGTAAGTACACCCATTTTGTTAGTACACTTAAAAACTTAAAAACTAGGGGTTAGTAGATTCACAAAATACATAAATTATTACTACACAAAAATTATTTATTTATTATTAAACATATTGGGTCTGTAACCATATGCACTGTGTTCCAGCACCTCATCACAGGGCAATCTTGCCTTCCATATATGGAAGCTAGGAGGCCGTTGGTGCTGTCTCGCACGCGACGCATTAAGGAGGCTATTCTTTTGCGTAATATTGCTGCAAAACTGTCCACGCGTGCCTCAGAAAACATACGCGATGCGCTGCAAAAGCGTAGCAGCCCCAATAACATCCTGAATCCATTGTTGTACTGAACACGCAGCGCGTTGAGAATTTGGCGAGTACACTTCGTCCACAGGCTGCAGGTGTAGAATGTCTGACAGTAAGCTTTGAATAACGTTATCTTAACTTCATTCGTACACCTAGCAATCCTGCGGGCATGCATATTACACCTCACTGCCAACGCTCTACGTTCCCGTTCAACATCTAAATTGTAAGAAAGGTCCTCGACGACCCAATGTCCCAGATATCTGAATTTGGTGACTACTCAGTGTAACTCCTCCAAGTTTAACATGAGGAACATTTTTAGGTGACTAGGACATATTGCATGAACCGTTGATTGTCGTCTGATTGCACCGAGATGCAATACAGGTATCGGGCCTCGGGGTGACCCCCATTACCCGGGTGTCCTCATGTCCCATTATTATGGGACAGTCCTTGTTGCCTATTCAGGCGTGATGGTAAGTCCGGTTTTTCCGTAATTGGTTAATTACGGAAAAAAGAGTGGTTATCTAATATAGACAGAGTTGGCCTTTCAGCGGCATTGTGGGTTGTTACTCAACTCTCTAATCACATATAGAGAGGAGTTCTCTTGGAAGAGGTCGCCCGTCCGGTGGCCGGGTGTGTAGCGGCGCAAAGCCGTTCAGGTGTTCATGTGGCCCGTTATCGGCACGGTCAAACATGCCGCGCGCTAACCGGGCCACGAAGTCGGTGATGGTCTCGACTTTCAGATCGGCCGCTATGACGTCATTCCGGACGTAGCGACCTGCTCCGACGATCGTCCTTAATGTCAGATTCTGCTGGGCCTGCAGTCGCCGCCTCAGAGGGTTGCTCAGAAGTGCGTACCAGGCCGGAGCAGCATACGTGATGATGGTCCGGATATACATCTTGTATATCCGGAGCTTGGTGTTTATAGGCAACTTGGATGCAAGTACCGGCAAGAGCGTCGCCCGCGCACATCGGGCCCGGCGGACGACGAAGTCGACGTGCGCGGTCATGCGCAGCGTCCTGTCGATCCTGCACCCAAGGTAGGTTACGGCCTTCTGGTACGCAATCTCCTGGCCGTTGAGGGTCAGCGGAGGTGGTAAATTCCTGAGACGGCGAGTGAGCAGAGCGGTCGTCTTACCAACGTTGACGACCATCCTCCACTCATCCAGCCATGGAGGCAGCAGGTCCAGCAGACGCTGCATCTTGGCAGTGGCTATGTGGGCTCTTCTGGACGAGGTGAAATAGGCGCTATCGTCCGCGTATAGCGCCAGCTCGACGTCGTCCTCCCACTCTTGAAGCCTGCCTGCCAGTGTAGGTATGTCGTTAGTATAAGCCGCGTACAGGACTGGTGACAGACAGCTGCCCTGTGGAACGCCGGCTCTGATGGTTTTAGTTGCGGACTCGGCGTCCTCTACGCAGACGTAGAACTTCCTGTCTTCCAGGAAAGACGCCATTAAACGCAACATAACAAGAGGGACACTGGTCTGTTCTTTCAGCTTGTATAGTAGTCCTATGTGCCACACCCGGTCGAACGCCTTCTCGATATCGAGGAAGACGCCCAACGATATGCGGCCACGATTGTACTCTGCCGCAAGCAGGTGCAGCACTCTAGTCAATTGTGTGACTGTAGAGTGTCCTCTCCTGAATCCGTGCTGCTCCGCCCGAAGTTGGATGCACGGACGGAGACGTCTTAGCAGCAATCTTTCGAACAGTTTAGCTATGTGTGGTAATAGCGTGATCGGCCTGTAGCTGGCAGCTCTACGCCTGTCCTTCCCGGGTTTCGGCAAGACGATAATTTTGCCTGTTTTCCATATCTCCGGGAAGTGGGATGTCCGCAATATCCCATTGTAGAGTCGACCAATCTCTACTATGACTCTATTGGGCAGCTGTCGGAGTGCAGCGTTGGTAATCCCGTCGTGCCCCGGCGCCTTCCTCGGTTGCAGGCGGGTTACTGTCCTCCGCAGTTCAGCGGGGGAGATGAACCACTCTCCTGCAAGAGGCGGCGCGGGCGACGACAGGAACTCCTGCACGCGACTTTCCTTCCTGGCATGAAGCTCCATGAACTCCGCACTTGCTGGGTTCGGCATAAATTGCTCCTCGAAGTGCTCGACTAGGATATCCGCTCTGCCCTTGGCATCATAGCAGCGTTTGCCTGCGTTGTTAATCAGCGGGCAAACGGGAGGTTTGGTTCTAGTTAACTGCCGGTTCAGTCTATAGAGCGACATATCTTGCTCCTCGGCCTTCCTAATGCGCCGATCCCAAGCGTCGCCTCTAAAGGCCTGGACTGCAACCGACAGTTCCTCCGAGATGGTGTTGAGCTGGGTCTTTAATCTAGGGCAGCGAGTACGCGCCCAGAGCTTTCTCAACGCTCTCTTGCGCCTGATCTGCACGCATATGTTAAGCGGCAGATCGTCTCGCCTGGCTGTGATCGGGACGATCGTAGAGGCCGCGTGAAGGGCCTCCTTGATGTTATTAGTGATTCTAGTTGCAGCGGCCTCTACGTCGTCCGCTGTACTTATTGGCTGGTGTGCTGGAGGTCTCTGCTGCAGGTGTTGACAGTAGAGCCTCCAGTCGACACGTGTCTTAAACGCTCTGGGCGGCGTAGTCACCGCCTTCAGGCCAAGGGTTATCAGTAACGGGAGGTGCTGTGAAGGAAGGTCGTACAGCACTTCTACCACTATCGGATAGTTGACGTTCCTAGTGAGCACGATGTCTAATACATCCGGATGCCTCCTTGGGTCAGTAGGAACGTGAGTCGGTTCCTCGGGACCTAGAACGTCGTATTGGTACTTTTCGGCGTCTTCATATAGTTCACGACCCGGCGGGGTGATCACTCTGGACCCCCACGCCGGGTGTTTGGCGTTCAGGTCCCCGGCGATGATAACAGGTCCATCGCCTTCCATCACTGTCCGGATGTCTGAGGAGCAGAATGGAGTCCCTGGTGGGCGGTATGCTGCATATATCCTTAGTTCCTCGCCCGCCGCCTCCATTCTAATACCGATTGAGCGCATTGTCTGGAAGGATGGTAATTCCAGCTCTTGATGGACGATGTCCCTCCTCACTAGAACCGCCGTCCCTCTATAGGCGGCCCCTTGAGAAGTGACCTCGTCCCTTCTGTAAATGTAGTAATTTGGCAGCTTAATGCGCGTTTTAGGATTTAATATTGTTTCGCCCAGCAGTATGATATGTATATCCTGTTGCTGGGCGACTGTGCGGAGTTCATGCAGCTTCTGCTGTATTCCGTCCGGGTTCCAATAGAGGAGGCGCAGATTACGCTCCTCCATAGTGCCGGGCTAGGAGGTTTGCCAGCGCCTTCATTATCGCTGTCACTGGATCTGTCCCGGCTCTTATGTCAGCCAGGACTTGCGTGCCGACCTCGATGGCAATACCAACCAGACGTTGGATTGCATCTGCTGTTTCGAGGCCGGTGGTAGGTGTTCTCCTATAAGAAGGCGTTGGCAATTGTCTCGGGGGTTGGAGCTCCTGGATTTGCTCTCTTTGCTTGTGGGTAGAGCGCGCTCTAGTGGTAGAGCGGGCTCTATGTTCAGATAGAGCCCTTTCTGGCATTCTACCCACGCTGGTTGTCTCCCTCGTAATCTGCGCCTTAGCGGCTACTGGTATGGTTGGTGTCGGGGTAGAGGTGACAGCCTGAGGAGGCTGCGACTTCTTCCTACTTCCCCCCCGCCTCCTCTTCTTGGAGGGTTGCCGTTCAGTGGCGGGGTTGGCGGGGGGGCTGTAGAGTCGCCCCGGTGGTTGCCCTGGTCGTTGTGGGTTCCACCGTTTCTTGGGTAATTGCGGGTGGGGGGGGGGGCTGGTTGCCTGCCCTTCCCGGTGATGGTGGTCCACCCGTCCTGCTGAATTGTAACAGCTTTCGGGCGACTCTGAGGGGCCTTTTTGGGGGCCTCCGGGAGTAATCCCGGCAAGGTTATCCCCTGCCTCCTCGCAGTCCTCCTCAGGACTGGACAGCGGCGGTCATTTGCCGTGTGGTTTTTACCACAGTTGGCGCATTTCGGTTCCTCTTCCCTACCCCGAGGGCAAAGGCTTGCTATGTGCTCCCCGGCACAGCGCACGCATCTCACTGGCCTGAAGCAATTGGCAGAGGCGTGCCCGAAGGCCTGGCATCGGTGGCATTGGGCTGGTCCAGCCTTTCTTTGCCAGGCCTCGATGACGACCCCTCTCATGTAGAGGAGCTCGTCGATGTTATATAATTCCTGGAGCTGCTCCAGGCTCAGGTGGTCCAGTTGGGCAAAGTAGACGCAGCCAGGTCTGCTTCTACGCGGTGGTATTGCCTTTACGTATTTTATGGGGGAAGCCTTTTGCCCTTATGGCCTCCTCTATTGCTTGGGTGTCCGTGCCCATTGGTAGACCCCGGATGCCCACTTTAGTGGGCTTATCCTCCTCCGGGGTATAACAATACCACGACAATGATGGTGTTTTCTTGGTTAACTCGACCATGTACCGCTGTACTGTGCGGAATTCATTTGCACTTTGCGGTGTAAATCTAACGCCTTTCCCAAACGGACGGGCATTTATGGGGTGGCCCAACATATTGTTGAGCTCCTTGAAATGCCTCGTCCAGTCTGGTAGGCATTCGGCCACTATGGGTGGGTATCGGCCCTTCTCCTGGTCGGCAGGCTTCACTGTAGGCGCTGCCGCCGGTGGTGGTCGTGGTACTGCTGGTGCAGCTACCATATGGGCATAACTGGTAGATGGCCGTTGGCCATCGTCCTGTGGCAGCCCGGACGGATTTGTTGTTGCCACCGGCGATGATCGGCCGGCGGATGCAGCGAGGGTGGCATATGTGGTTGACCCCCAACTGAAGGATTCTTCGCCCCCCTGCTCATACTGTGCCGAATCATGGCTTCGCCGATCCGGTGATATGGTGCGGGGGGAGTTGTGGTGGAGAGGGTGACCTGGGTGGCGATCTCAGCACCTATTGCATGAGTCTTTCGAATAGCTGGACCTAGAACCGAGGCTGTACCATAGGCGGAGCTTGACGCATGTCATTGGGGCCTATAACTCGTTGAATAGTTAGGCGCAATTTCTGTGGAATTTTGTTGTTATATACTAGCAATTTCATTTGGGGTGGAACTAACTCTCGTGCAAGTAAGAATAAGAAACGGGCACGATTTATGGTTTCCTTATTCTCACAGTTATTATATTGCACATAAGCATTGAAACCGCTCAGATCTATCAACCCGTAAAACAATACCATTGGCCAGCGTCGTGTTCTTCGAGAACATGAATAGTTGGAACACTTTTTATCCACCTCATCAACGCCTACTTTAGTGGCGTTACATTTGGTCATAATGACAGGCTTGCAAGATGCAACATCAGTTTCTCTTCAGTGGCACTACCACTCTATTTCTACTGGGTTGAAATTCTGGCGGAATTTCTCTTTTATTCTTCTTCAAGGCACCAAAGTAAGTCAAACCACGGTATTGTTTTCCGCTTTCTATTCTAAAAATTCTACCCCCAGGCATTCTGTAAAAAAAAGAACTATACTAGTAAAGATGTCACGTCCATGAGACACTATAGCCTTACTTACTTAATTACTGAGGTTACGACCAGGAGACGTCATAAGTTTTTACATAAACAAAATACTTACGTCTGTGAGACGGAAATGGCTCCTCGGCGGACATATGAGCACTCGCCACGTATGCTGCGTCGACTTACCGCTAGACAATGCCGAGGGAAGAAGGTAGCGGGAGGGATACCACTTCGCGAGCGATGTGTATTTAGATATAGTTATTATAAAATTTACGCCGTCTGTGAGACGTATAGATCGTTAGTTAAAGGTTAAGTAGCCAAAAAATGCAATATGCTTTTGCCTTCATTTTAGTTAATAATCGTATTTTAAGCGACGAACGGACGACGCGGCGCAGCGTGAGAATAAATCTCTATATTTTTGAAAATTATTTAGTTTTTAAGGGATATTCCTATAAATGAACCAGCATATATTTCCAATAAATGAACGTGTTTCCAAAAGGAACCAAGACAAAAACCCAAACCAATTAGTGGCACCATCTCAAAGACTTCATTTGTATAGTCGTAACGCCCAGTGCATGGCAATAACAATCTTTAATAAGCTGCCACCGCAGATCAGGCCTCAGCTACCTGTTAATAAATTTAAATATGTGTTTCTACTCTGATAACGGTTTCTACTCTGATAACGATTTCATCAGTTATACATAAATAAATGATTCTTATATTGTATTAATTACCATATATTAAGAAATAAACTATATTCTATTCTAAATATCGAAATATATCGCGTACGACCCCACCGGCGTGAAGCGGCTTTGGCCCGTCAAGACGAGCCCGCTGTGTACTTGTAACTTTTTACCTAAACGGCAAAGTGCGCCTGACCTGCCAGAAGGTACTAGAACACTCGCGATGACAACGATAACAACGCCCAAAGGAAAAAAAGGAGGAAAAAGTTCTAATTTTCGTATTCATATGGTTGCGTCTTCCATGTCAATAGTTTGAGCCTTATCTATTTAATGCCTACAATTTTATTACTTGACAGAGGCCACTGACCTCTATCGTGGGGAACATTCTAGCGCAATGTGACGAAATACGCAACTGGCTGTCGTAATAATATTGTTATCGTTTATTGTATGTGTTTATTTTATTATTTTATTGCTTCAGTGTGGCTTGGGAGGCGAAAGTGCTGACTCGAGCCTGGTGGGTCCACGCGCACCAAGTGTCTAAGTCTGCACCCACTGGGGAGTACCTCACCACGGGCTCCTTCATGATCCGCGGCAAGAAGAACTACCTCCTACCCGAGCAGTTGCAGTTCGGCTTCAGCTTCATGTTCAGGGTGAGATTTTAATATCTAAATTGTTTATTTTTCGATGTAATTTTTTTTTGTATAAGAACATAATATCTACCGTGGCCCTTAAACAACTGCAACACCAAGGAATGAGAGAATCTACGACTTTTTCTGCCACCTGAGCGACGCCACTCAAAAATTAGGTGATTTTGACTGATTTCGTAGCGGGGTAAGTGAATTTGTTAGAAAAAAGTAAGAGTTATAAATAATCTTTCTTTATAGAGGATAATTAATTCTTACACAATAAACTAATATTATTATAATTTTATGAGTCTGGGGTTCGTGACAGTAAAAACTGCCGATTGAATTACCAAAATTGACACTTTAATTACGGAACACTAATGACAACTTAAAACACACTAATAATAAAACACATTCGTACTACTCATCACTTTAGTTTGTAGTTATATCGCTTCGAAGTATTAGATTGTATCGCCAATTCAATACTGACTCGGTCGCGGTCCTTGCCGACCTTACATAGGGCCTCTTCTACTGTAACATCTAGAATGTTCGATTACAAACCGGTCCCGACCGACTAGGTGTAGAAAGTTCTAGTATGAAATTTTCTAGAAAGATCCCGACTCTCCTAGGCCTGCTACTCGATACTGGATGGCGCCAGTGGTAACTCGTCATGTACCAGGCAGTAAAAAACTCTTACGACTTTACGACAGCCACGGGATGATACGGGGTAGTGGATACTGTTACACCGCCACCACACGGTCAACATCGTACGTAAAGTATCCAGACCGGTTCGGAACACAGGATCAAAGGTGCTCATCTGGTACTAAATCCTCAATCCGATGACGATTAAGACAAATCCTCCCTTCAATGGGGGGAGGCACATCCATCAGTGTATCTTTGGGGACTGATGATTTGTTTATTGCATGTCACGTTACAAATTAACATCGACCTAGCATTGCAAAGTTATAAAGTGTAGGAACGTAACAGAGTAAGTTAGCTAGTTTAATGTACAAGATGTTTTTACATGGTAGAGCTACGCTGCAGCTATATTATACTTGAAGCACGAATGGGTCGGCTCGACCGGGGAGGGACCACGCTCTCACAAAATACCAGCGTAATGCTGCGGTGTTTCGTATTTCATCTTATTCCTCTCGGGTGACAACGCATTTGCATTTTGATACTTATTTGAGGATAAATGTGAATGTCTATGGGCCACAGCATCCACTCACCATCAGGTGGACTGTCTGCTCATTTGTTTCCCAATGCTATAAAAAAACAATATTTATTACATATTAAAACTATTAGACTTAATGTTAACTTTGATTAAGGTCTCAGTGATTATAACTTTTATAATAGGTACTAAATTATGTCCAGCTTTTGCTCGCGATTCGACTTATGTGGCTACGACAGAACACCCGTGCTGCGATAACTCTTTTTTCATTTAGTAATGTTGTTTTTGTTTGTAAAACTGATGTTCTGTAAGTTGCAGCAACAAATACATAATACATTTTATATGTTCTAAATTTAGGATGGAACATTATTGATAGGGACGCCATTCAAGGGCATAGCAACACTAGCGGCCTTATTTCAAAATACAGACTAAATATAATACTGAGGTTAGTACTAGGTTTAAAGCATGAACTAAATAAAACGTTAGTACAAATTGAAAACAGATAGTAAGGATTATCTATGATACTAAAGTTAAACTTTCAAGACCTCTAGTTTAACTATGGTATTAAAGCCTCGTCTAAACGGGACATATTTACTGGCAAAATGTAGCTACAATTTTTTCAAAACATTACCCGGCCATCCAAAAAGATTTTGTTGCATTTTATGGCTGAGCAAGCAATTGATAGGCTACATGTTGCAATATGGCTGCAATGGTATGGCCCATGATTTTGATTCCCAAATAGGCCAGACAATCGGACAACAATGACCGACGACGTAGCGCTTATCGCAGCACCTTACATTGTTTTGGCATTTTAACTTTTCCCCTAGTCTAGTTAGGATAAATATATTAACGAGACGCGATGAATTTCGCAGCACACTTCACTTCGCACAGAAAATGATGTGCAGCGTACTTCACGTCGCATTGAAAGGGAGAAAGGGATGCGCATATACAGTAAAACAAAACAACAATATAGATGGCCCAGCAACATTGCAGTATTTTCGATTGCGAGGCGATCGTTCGGCCACACGCTGGCTACAAATGAAGATGTTTTGACATACCAAAATATGTGGTTATAATTGCCGGGCCATACTTAAAATATTGCATATTATGACTGATATTGTAAGCAATGTTACCGGCCACAGTATTGCCGCCACACATTGCCAGAAAAAATGGCCCGTTTAGTAGAGTCTTAACATCAATGTCGGTACTACTTTAAATGAGGTTGGCATTGTTTTCATTTCGTGTTTTAAAATCCTTAAAAATGTATATTCAGGTGATTGAATTTGAAAGATATAGATATCTATCTTGACATATAAAAGACATTAAGTACTTACTTTTTATTTTCTGCATAATTACTAACGTTTTCATCGACTTATCCTCTATAATATGGCCTGATTGAGCAATAAGTGTACGAAATATTTTCTATATTTATAAGAACATTCGCTTTAATCGAAATAAGAATTATACAAAGCATCACTACTAATACAATAAATTTCGATGTTTCACTAACTTTTTATTTAGAACTCCAATTTTCACCCTGTTTTTTTTTTTTTTTTTTTTGTTTCATTTTTATATAGCCACAGCTAGCAACCACACACACAATCTCCGGAACAAAACCTTACTAATTTCAGCACCACAATACTCAATTAATAAAAAAAATAACAACAGCATTGATTTATTCTATGGACGCAACAAACATTTTTAATCGAATTAATAACAATTCGTCGCGCATTACGCGCTCGAGGTACCTATGTAATTCACTCCTTTTCATGATAGAGTTGTTAAAATTAAAACAACTTTGATTATATAAAGTGCAATAGATTTAAACCTTAACAAATAACAATTTATGATATGTATTTGTGTTGATAAATAATAATTTTTAGAGAAACAGAACTGCTTCGAATGAAACCCGTATGAACGAATGAAGCAATGTCATTTTTTGTTTTTTATCAGTGGATGTTATTTAAATCAATACTAACTTTGGTACTAACAGGCCCTCGGATAGTCTGCGTTTTGTAATAAGCACACCTTTTGATTTTGGTATTAACGTTTATACTGTAACAAACCTGGATCTTTTAGTCCTGGTTTAAATCTGTACTATTTGTTTTTTGGAAATGGAATAAAACCATAGAGGTCTAACTATTTTTGAATTATCTATATTTATTTATTTATTTAGTTAAATACACGAAACCGAATAATGTTTTTTTTTTTTTTGGGATGGTATAATAAAAAATGAGGTACGCAAGACGATATTAGATAACAGTAGTGAAATATGTTGTGGAAAATCTAGGAAAATCAAATATTTTTAAAAACATTGTCCATTTACATAAACTATTAAATTGTAAGCCGGGAATCATCTAGGTTTTAAACATAAATTATAAAATATCGTAGACATTCAATATTATCTCTTATAAAACTCAAAAACGGCTCGACCGATGGATAGTTTAGATTCACATCCGAACCCGGTAGGTGGCGCAGCTGTCGAGATCCAGAAATCACCCGTGCGAAGCCGAGTGTATCGTTAGTTTTATGTTGTAAACATGATTGTAAGCTATTATTGGAAAAAAAATAGTCCCGCTGGGTTTCTTGTTGGTTTTTCCCAGGACAGAGGTTTTTTTTGCGAACCAGTTGTAAATGAAAAAAGTGACTTTCAATAAGTATTGTTATAATCTACATTGAATAAAAAAGTTTCTGTTTCTGTTATATAAATTAGTTAAATTTAGAATGATGATGATTAACATTTGCAAAATTAAGACGTTATATCGAGAGACAATATCCTTGCCAACAGTTGGAGGACAGCTGCATAGAGCGGCATCGCGACGAGCGGAAGTGCTTAGCTACCGACGGTGTTGCGTCTGACGTCACTTCCGTCCAGGAACAAGACGAAGAGATCGTAGTATCAGACGACGGTATGTTCCTCTTTATCTCACTATAATGTCTTCCAGACCGAACTTCGAACACGTCAGCCAGTGTCAACGGAGACTATAGCCATCTATGCAGGACAGTATTATATTGCACGGGTGTATACACAAGAACCGGTGCACTCCCTATTCCTTCTCTCATAGTCCGATGGAACGGTAATCCGACACGACCGCAGAGAGATCAGGTGTAGGACCAATGGCTTTACGTGCTTTCCGAAGGTACGGGGTGAAAAACTCCCGACTTCTATACTCCGGGCTACTAAGAATTTATTGACGGAAAACCCAATAATATTTTGGCCCGACCCGGACAACCCGGGACCTCATGATCAATAATCAAATGAGTCGGGAAGTTGGTGATGTTTCACCCCATACCTGGGAAAAAACGTATGGCCGTTAGTTCTACGCTTGATCTATCTTCAGTCGTGTCGCATTACTGTCCCATCGGAGTATGAGAGTGGAAGGATCGAGAGTGCACCTGTACAGTTCTTCCCTAGCCAAGCAGACCTAATTACAGCTTCACTCTACCAAATACAAAAAAGTACAAATTTAACAAGAGGGCCAAGAGGTTATAAACTACAGTTTTTACAATTTATTTGAACGCTTTTCAGACGAACCTTCCGATAAGGAGGACTCGAAGCGAGACATCGAAGCAAATCTCGCCACCATCACAGAGGAGACGACGCGAATCGAGATAGAAGATGCACCGCAACAAGAGAACGAGGGAGAAGGAGAAGGAATAAAGGAGGAAGTTAAGATAGAAGACCAGCACAATGACGATAGCGATGATAGTTCCTCGGAGACTGGTGGCCTCCATACTCACATTAAGGTAAACTATAATTTCTTATGCTTACGTGAACACTACACATTTAAATAAAACTAGTTTTTACTGATTTTGTCGCGCATATTAACTTATTTCATGTAACTGACGTTTCGAGCACTTTAAGGCACCCATGGTCACAAGGCGAATGGGGGGGGGACTGAGGTGTTCGACGTCCCAATGTCATCGTTGACCACGGCGACTTTCAGATTTTTATGTATTTATTAACTTTTGGTCTGATCGACGCAATATGAATCTATAGTATCTTGAAGTCTTGCAGTTATATGCATGGGTTCGGATTTAATTTTATTAATTATAGGATCCCAAGCAGATGGTAGCGCCCAGTCATCTTCTGTATTGATATTAGGATGATTTTTGATTTATATAGCTTCAAGTAAGTTTTGCACGACAAGTTTTTGGTCACAGTGAACAAGCGATAAAATCCGTAAAAACTAGTTTTATTTAAGCCCCGGATACACTAGGAGACATTTTGTGCTGCAACATGACGCGGAACACTCAATCTACGGTTGGACATGTTGCATGTTCCCGCTCCGAGAGCGAGCGCACGTGGCAAGTCTGATATGAGGACCAACAGCGTTCCGTAGCATTGTATCCTGTTTGACCATGGAAAGTCCGATCATTTGTAATAAAGTTTCGAAATCAAATGTTGACATTCGAGTAAAATTCATAAAAGATCCATCAGACATTCGGAGATCATTTAAAATATTAATACTTCTTTCTTCTCGTTGTAGTAAGAAATTCCGCATCCACCGCCTTCTCTTTCGCTTACGTTTCACTCCCGAAGTAAGTACTATGTACGCAGCACTAATTTCCACAACCTCCTCGAGCGACATTTCTATAAACACGGACTGGTGTGGCCTGCAAAATGTTCCGCGACATATGTCTCGGCACATTCCACGTAGTTATTGAGCGACATGTTGCGCAACATGCCGCTCCTTTTGTCCCCAAGTATACAATACAATACCCTTTATTGAACACTAAGAAAACAACATAACAAGAAACAAGCAAAGAGAAAAACAAAAGGCGGTCTTATTGCAATGCAGCAATTTCTTCCAGACAACCTAAATAGGAAATAAAAATAAGTGAAAAGATAATTAATGGGTAGAGTGCACTATAAATAATATTATAATCTACAAATATAAAAGTACATTAATAAACATGCCGGAATTTACTCAGTTGACAGACTTGTGATCATAAAACGACAGGAATAGATAAAAGGAGGGATAATTTAGAAAGAAAGATAATGTTTTTAACTTGGTTTTTAAAGGAGTCTATTGTTTTAGCACGTTTTATAGTTGATTGTAAGGAATTCCAAGTGTATCCAAGGCTTAAAGGTAAATAACCCTATAAACCTCGCAGTCTTCACCGACACCATGATTGCGATTAGCTCACAGCCTCAACGGATATAATGACGATTCAATAATTTAACTATTTTTTATTAATAATTACTAAAAAAAATGGAATTTTTAATAAAAATTAATAACTAAATATATTATTTTGAATGATTTATTCTTTCATTTACAGTCGACTCTCGTTAATTCAACCCAGCGATAATTCGAACCTCTCTATAATTCATAGTTATTACGAGTTCCCTACAAAATCTCTTTATATTTCGAACTAAATCAATACATATTTATGCTCTTGATAACTTGAACGTAAAAAAATATTGCTACTTAACAAAACGACGCATTAATTCGAACTCATCGGCCTCAAACACTCGACAGTTCAAAGTTGCAGTTGAAGTTTAAACTTTTGTTTTGGTATGTGAGCCTTTGTTTTTGTTATGATTAGTTTGACTCGCACTTCCGCACGAATTGAATTGTTTAGTTAGCTGTGTTTCAGTTACTGTTACTCTTTCGTTGGTTTGGTTGTATACAGATTAAAACTTTGTGTTAGTTATGGGGCCTAAAAAGTATAAATGCATAACCATCGCTGTAAAGAAGAAGTTAATCGAAAAAGTAGAGGGAGGTGAGAATAAAAGTGATGTTGCAAAATAATTTAAGATACCATTGAGTACTCTCTCAACCATAATAAAGCACAAGGAGAAAATTTACGCTTCAAACTGCTGGAGTACGGAAAAGAACTATTAAAGGTGAATCCTCGTCTGGAAGAAAGCCTGGTTATTTGGCTAAGACAGTGTAGATGACAAAAAGTGTCTATTAGGGGAAACTTGTTAAAGGAAAAAGCTCTGCCCCAGGAAGGGTGGCTTACAAATTTCAAAAAGAGAAAGGAAGTTGTGTTTAAAAAAGTTTGTGGGGAAAGTGGAAGCGGAAAATGGAAGTCCAAGCTTTTGCCATTGTTAAAGAATAGCAGTTAATAAATAATAATTGATCAACACTTAATAATACGAACTTTTATCTTTTTTCTCTCAAAAATTTCGAACCATTTGATATTTCAAACACTCGGTAATTCGTAATATTATAAGTCCCTTGAGTTTCGAATTAACGAGAGTCGGCTGTATATATAAATTTGTGGCAAAAAAAATGTAACTTCTCTATTGACTAGAGGGTCTTAAACCCATTTGATTGTTTGCAGATTGACCATGGAACTGGTGAAGTGCATACCGAGTCGAAAACTATGACCGCGTCTGAAATCACCGAAATGAGTGAGTATAATATAGGTTATAGTAGATTATAGTATAATATAATATAGGTTAAATAAAAGTAGATTTTACGGATTATCGCGTATGTTAATTTATTTTATATTCCCGACGTTTCGAACACTTTTCATCACCCATGGTCAGGGGGGGACCGAGGTGTTCGTCGTCCCAATATCATGTCATGTCGTCACCTCCAGATTCAAATTATTTCTGATCTGATCTACGCAGTATGAACTTATAGTATCTTGAAGTCTTGCAGTTGTTTGCTTGGGTTGGTATTATTTAATTTTATTAATTATAGGATCTATCTTCTCTATTGAAATTAGAATTTTTTTTGATTTCAATCATAGAATACTATAATATACAATAGAATGACTGTCAGCCTTATTTTGTACGAGGGTTGGCCTCGCCGGGGAGCACACATATAAGCAATTACGTCATGTTATCACTACATACTACAAACCCGATTCGCTGTGTTGACAGACTGAGTAAATTTAAACATTTTAGACTTTCGATTAATGTTCAAGATCATCATTAAAAAGTCGTTTAAATTTTAATACATATTTATTTGTAAATAGTGTGCAATTGGGCATTTTCTAAATAATTTGCATGTTGACATGTTAGTGACGTTTTAGTGGCTACATGGGTTCCGACCCACTCCCTTGTTATGCATGTATTATAGTATTCTATGATTTCAATAGCCTCGCAAATCATCCTTGGAAGGGATCGGTGTTCTTTAGCGAGGATTTGTGGTCTATCAAATCTGATGTAGTGACGGGGGCGATCCTGTACGTGTTCAGACTGCAGACTTCCCGGAGCATAGATTCTTCACATCAGCTATGTGTTCTTTAACGCGGGTTTTTATTGATAGTTTTATTTATCCCATGTAAGAGACACAAGCTTGTTCTCTCTCTCCTGCATCTTGCAGAGGGACATTACACTTGACTGATGGTAAAAACTGACTGCTTCTTCGGCGGCTTGAAGTATGTTTTAATGGACGCTCGCTTCAAGATGTAGCCAATCTTGTCACAGTGACTCCTCTGACATATGGTAGTACAGCAGGTACACGCTCGACTGTGCCCGGCTTCACTTGTTCGCTGTGACGTAGGCGCGGGACCCGAAGCTTGTTGCCATGCAAAATTTGCTTGACGTGTTGGAGCTCGGCAGCCAGGTGTTTATTGTCACAGATCCCTCGTGCTTTCTGTAACAAAGATTTACCCACGGTAACTAACTGTGAAGAATGGTGGTGAGAATCACCATTTAATTCTGTGTGGGTCTTTTTTCTATACACAGTGTGGTTTAAGGTCAAAATGTTCTCATCGGGTGTACAAGTCTGTTGTTTCGGTTATCAGGATTCTGAATTACTAACACATCTAGAACAGCTAAAGAATTTTGTTTTATAGGATAGGGTGACAAACGAGCACATAGTCCACCTGATGATAAGTGGTTACTGTGGCCCATAGACATCTACATCTATCCTCGATTACGAAACAAAATGCAGATGCGTTGTCACTCCTGAGGGCTAAGATGGCATGCCTCGTTTCCAGTAAAAAGGGTTAAAGAATTGTTGCCTCTAACTCCATTGTGAACTGAATTTTAGAATTTATGGAGTTAAGATGGTCTAATGCAGTTATTTTATCTATGGGATTGTGAAAGTGTCGTCTACGTACTGCTTGTAGAATCTTGGATTTTCGGGAGAAGTAAGTAGGGCTTTCTCCTCAAAGTCTTCCATGAATATGTCGACGACAATGAGAGATACAGGTGAGCCCATCGCTATCCTGCTAACTCGAGTTTAATTCGAGTTATTTGAATTTGAACTCGAGTTAACTCGAGTCGTTATTTTTCCGAGTAAGCACATCTGTAGGGTGCAACATCGCTCATTAAAAACATCGAAGTTTATGAACATATATCGAAATTTTTCCGATGTATTTTATCACCATTTAAATAAATATATCGAATAAATAATCACTTAGAGCAGAAATAAAACTTCTTTTCTTCTTTAAGTGCCTCTCCATTACTGAAGGTCGGCAGTCATCCTTCTAAATTCTTCTTTGTTCATGGCTAGCCTGAACAGATCTTCAACTATCTTTATCCCAGTCCATTTCCGGATGTTACATAGCCATAAAACTAAGAAGTATAATAACCAAACATTATGTTATATTAGGAAGTTTTACACTATTAATAAATAGTAAAAATATTTACACATTTAATTTTATCGAATAATGATTAATTTTTAACAGAAAACTAGAATTAATTAAACTTTTTTTTTTACGTTTATTTCTTTGGAATTGAATTTTAGAATAACAATTTTGATAACCTGGCGCCCAATAAGCGGTTTCCCTTCTGGGTGATTGTAACTCCAGCCTATGAGAATAACTGCTCACGGGGTACCGAAGTTGCCACGATAGCTTGGCTGTGAAGCCCGGGAAACAACCTTTTCATGTCATCCCGCATCTCCAACGCATTTCCCTTTATAGGAGTGACAGGTGTTTATATAAATATATGAAACTCTTTTTCTGCTTTAGTTTTATCTTTAGTTTTATTTCTTATGTTGTGGTGCTTTAATTCTTTATGGTACTTCCAAATGTCTCTTTGAGTATTGTCGCCTTTTCTGAATAAATTTACGAAACTATACTATACCGACATACAAACACGCAAATAACCGTTTATCCGTCAGAATCAATTTTTTAACGTACGGAATTTTAATACCTTCGAATAGTTGGTTATGTCGGAACCTCGTGACTCGTCGACGCTCTGACTTTTTGACGGCAAGCATCTTTCATAAACATCGCTCATGAAGAATGATGTTTATGAATAATATATCGATGTTTGAAAGAATTGATTTACTTTACATTTTACTTTACATCCCTAGTCGCGCATCAAATAAGTGCCCTCAGTTTTATTACACTGCAAGGTGGTAAACGCACTGCGGACCGGGGCCACTTTGACGCCCTAATTAGGGACTTGTTACACCACTTTTGTTAAGGGCTCAGGGACCCAGATTCAGTGCAGTTTAATAGGCGTATAATTTCATACTGCGTAGATCGGAACAAAAATTAATAATTTTAATCTGGAGGTAGCCGTTACCATGGCTTCTGTAAAGTACTCGAAACGTCGGAAATATAAAATAAATTAATGCACGCGATATAACCCGCAAAAAGTAGTTTAAATGTGTAGTGTTCACGTAAACGTATGAGGGGCACACTGAAATGATCGGCAATAAGAAAAACCACATGCACGGTATAGCTAAATTGTATTTTATTGTTTTTCGAAGTATTCTCCGTTCAACTTAATGCACTTTTCCATTCGTGCAAACCAATCATTAAAACAGTAATTCCAGTCTGAAGATGATGTTGACAAAATGGTTGATTTGTTCGCTTCCACATCTGCTACGGGGTCTTCAAGCCGTTGACCGCGTAATAAATCTTTCATTCTAGGGAATGTAAAGAAATCGTTTGGGCTCAGGTCAGGATTGTACAGAGGATGGCTCATCAGCTCAACGTTTTCCTGCTTCAAAAATCATTTGTATTCCGAGCCGTATGAGAGCTCGCATTATCGTGACGTAGAATGATGAGATTTTTCGGGTTATTTTTTCGGAGTTCGGCTATCATTTCTGGCAAACGAACTGTGATATACCACTCAGCGGTAACCGTTCTGCGTTCCTGTAAAGGAATTGTAACAACATGCCCCTTTTTCGAGACAAACGTAGCGACCATTTTCTTTGCCACGCTGCGGGAGCGAACCACTTTCGTTGGTTTGACCTCGTCTTCGAAGACCCAAACTGCTGACTGATGTTTTCCTTCAGGTTCGTATGAATGAATCCGTGGTTCGTCACCTAAGACGATATTATAAACGGCATTTAACTTCCCTGTGTTGAAGCGTTGCAGAGTACTCCGGCACCAATCGCCACACGAGCCGCCTTTTGCTCTTCGGACAAATTTTGGGGAGCCCAGCGGGAAACTAGCTTTCTTACACACAGCTCATTATGTAATATCGACTGATTTGCAGTCATTCCGATACTGATAACAGCCCGAATCTGCTCGTATGTCACATGACGGTCATCTAATATAATAAAATATAAAATGGTTCGCACAGCAGCGATGTTTTCAGGCGTGACCGCTATTCTTGGTCGACCTGCAGATGAAACAGTGCTGAGCGACACACAACCGCGTCGGTACTCGGCATACCAGCGGTATATTGTTGTTTGACTCGGTGCTTCAACATCATAAATCGAAGCAAGTTTGTTGAGACATTTATCTTGAGATAATCCGCGACGAAAATTGTGATAAATTATGGCGCGGAAATGTTTACGCGTGAGCTCCATTTCTGTTAACGACGTGTCGACTTTAAACCAACATAGTTTTTGTTTTTAAACATTTTTTTAATTGTTTGAATGTCATTAAGATTCTAAGAGGCCAGTATTCAAATTCTAAAAAAGATTTTATTATAACTCAATCCAAAATATTCTATTCTCTATCATTTCAGTGTGCCCCTCGTAAGAAATCGTTATAAAAAGTTAAAGTTACAGCCTATATACTTCCCACTGCTGAGAAAAGGTCTCCTCTTAATTCTTAGAGGTTTATAGGTTAAGGAAGTGTCCGCCGCGCTCCCCAAAGCGTGTTGCGAACTTCACATGTCTTCGAAATATTTTCTTGTTGTTTTTCAAACATGCAGATTTCTTCACGATGTTTTCTTAACTGCCGAGCACGTGATAAATCAGCACATAAAATTGCAACTAACAATATCATTGATGTCGGTGAGGATCGAACCCGGGTTGTTCGCGTATTGTGAAACTTACAGCGAGCGTTTAGCTCAGGAGCAAAATTTCACAATACGTTAAGCTAAGCGGCTCTAAGCTCAGGAGCTCCGTTATTTGTATAAGTTATTACCTAAACACGTCCCACAGCTGGGCACATACGCACCCCATTTCTAGATGGGAAAGGTTGTGGGTGGGTCAGCTCAGTTGAACTGCACGAGTATTTATCTAACGCAATAGAACCAGAGTAACTAACCTAGCTTAACGGCTTAGTAAGCTGAAGTGGAAATGGACCTATAGCTCGAGAACGGACAATCGTTAGGGAAGAAAGATTCTCGAATGGCAGCCTCGTACCGCAGCACAATTGCATAAACACAGCAGCATTGAACTGCTATTTTGCGCTGGTATTCTATGAGAGAGTGATCTTTCCCCGGTCGAGCCGACCCATTCGTGCTACAACCATAACATGTTCCCGCTTGTATATGAACACTTTTTTATGATTAATAATATTTTCAGACGAAGAATTAACTGTATGTTTCCCCCACTTCCCGAGGAAAAGCAAAAAGAGGATAGAAAAGGAAAAGGAAGAACAAAAGAAGGAGGATAAGGACAAGAAAGACGCGCTGAAGAGGGGACAGAGGGGCAAGTTGAAGAAAATAAAGGAAAAATACAAGCACCAGGATGAAGAAGATCGGGCTTTGAGAATGGAAATATTACAGGTAACATGTTATGTTTTATAGTAGAATAGTGACAAACGAACACACAGTCCACCTCATGGTAAGTGGATGCTGTGGCCCATAGAAATCTACATTTTTCTCGAATAAGAATCAAAACGCAGGTGCGGTGTCATCCACGGAGCAAACATAAAGAGGAGGTGTTATAATTAGATTTCACTATGTAACAACGCGTGACAATTTGCGGGGTGAGGGGGTATTAAGCGCCGCCCACTTAACTATTTTCCATCTACCGGTAAATAGTAAAACTACTCGCATCGTTCCATATCGATGTTGCACTGTAGTTTAGCTACCTTACGCTTGGTGTGGGATATAAGGGTACATACTCAGAAATTTCGTACCAGGGAGTATTTATTTCAAGATTAATTTTGTGAATCGTCTTGTAATTACATCTTTTTTCTAAATTGAAATATCGATATTAATATGAAAAAAAAAATCCTACTAATTTCACTAATATTATAAAAGCGAAAGTTTGTGTGTTTTTTCTTTCTCCTTGACCTTATCCCACGCTAATTATGTACTGTAAATGTGTTATTTTTTCACGCTGACTAACGGCTGGACTATTATGTCGTATGTATGTGTCGGTATACTACTTAATATTTCTATGGAAGAACAAGTAATATATAAACATAAACTCGATTAACGCTATCGTAAAGTTATTTAAATTATTTTGTTGCGCTCGCACTCGACATACAGTACTAAATTCTATTTTAAATTCAATTACCCGCAAAAATAACTGTTTTGGTTAGTTGTTGTCGGTTTGATGCCCTATCGTTTTCTATGGTAGCAAAATGCTTAAAACGAATATCTATATATTTTTCAGCTATAGATTTAATCAGTCGGTGATTGGTCAAACATATGATTGACCGATTGTTTGAAATAATCTTGTCCAATAAGAGACTTTAATGTATTCGATACAATTTTATGTTTACTGAAATTGGGAGTATTCAAAGATTGTGATTTAACACAACGGATGCTGCATTTCCTTCATTTTAAGCCGTGGGTAACTGGGTAAAATAATTGGATTCTAATTACGGCCCTGTCTTTTTATTTTATTTTTGATTGTTCTTTTACTTGACGGTAGATGGCGGCCTGTTTCAAAATGATTATAAAATCTATAAAGGTAATATTTTGGCGATTAAAAATTCTTTAGGATTGAAACCAACTTCAAAAAAAAACAATTTCAGCACCTTCGTATAATTGTTTTACCAATACTGAGCTCGACTTACCTTTATATTTTTAGTTCACACGACACAAAGTGCTGCCATCTAGTATCGAATATATATAATTATATTTGAAAGCCGATGCAAAGACATCTTTCTAGAATTATTTTAAGAAATTAGATATATAATTACTTACACATTAAATGTGATACCATCCATAGCATCAGAGCGTCTATCTGAGTAGTTTTTACACGATAAAACACAACACTTCATCCTTTTCTTCTTAATAATACGAAAATACACTGATTTGCAATTTTCGACACCGATGCGCACAGGACCAACGCTGACAGTATACTAACTAAAGCCACGCCCACTGTGATGACGTCAGGACCTAGTTAGAATCACAGTGCACAGTCGCTTAGGCCGTCTCCTCTTTATATTTGCTCCGTGGTGTCATCCCTGAAGACTAAGGTGGAATGCCTCGTTTCTAGTAAAAAAGTGTCTTCGGATATCTACACTCACCATACGAAACACAGCAGCATTAAGCTGCTATTTTGCGCTGGTATTCTGTGAGAGCGTGGTCCTACCTCGGTCGAGTCGACCCATTCGTGTTACAACTTTACTACTAATATAGCTGCAGCATGGCTCTACCTAAAAACTGTTATGTTATTTTATGATATTCTTTATTTCTGTTAATGTCCATCGATCAATATTTTTAATGGTACACCAATATGTTACGTTTAATATTAGCGATCCGCCTCGTCGTTGTCTGGGTAAAGTTTATTGATTGTTATTTAGATTCAATTGGTTCATCCTTTCCAAAGATAAGTCTGGATAGACAGACAGACAGCGAGCAAATAACCCTCTGTGCTTAATAAAAGCCAGTTTTTTTATAGACTTAGGGTGTCAAACGAGCACACAGTCCACCTAATGATAAGTGGATGCTGTGGATGGCCCATAGACATCTACATTTATCCTCGACTAAGAATCAAAACGCAGGTGCGTTGTCACCACTTAGGACCAAGATGGAATGGCACGTTTCCAGTAAAAAAGGGTTTTTTTATAGAAGAGGGGGCAAATGGGCATGCGGCTCACCTGATGTTAAGTGACTACCGCCGCCTATGATCAACCGCAACACCGGGGGAATTGCAGGTGCGTTGCCGGCCCTTTAGAAAGGAGGAAGCTCTTTTCTTGAAGGTATCTAGAATTCTACACTCACCATACGAAACACAGCAGCATTAAGCTGCTATTTTACGCTGGTATTCTATAAGAGCGTGGTCTTTCCCCGATCGAACCGACTCATTCGTGCTGCAACCATAACATAGCTTCAGCGTGACTCTACCACATATGAAAGTATGGACGTACGAAGTTTTTTCAATATTAACACCATTACCGTTACAGCCTATTAAAGTATACCGCTGAAAATACACCCCCATAGAATGCCTCATGGCGGGAATGTTTGCTATACTTGCCACGATTGGCAACCGCACTTTTTATTTTTAGTTGTTATTAGGAAGAGCCGTGGTAGCTCAGTGGTTAACGCTCGCTGTAAATATAACAGAACGCGAGTAACCCGGGTTCGATCCCCGCCGACACCAATGAAATTGTTAATTGCAATTTTAAGTGCTGATTTACCACGTGCTCGGCGGTGAAGGAAAACATCGTGAGGAAACCTGCATGTCTGAGGAATAAGAAAAAAAATATTTCGAAGACATGTGAAGTTCGTCAACACGCATTTGGGCAGCGCGGCGGACACTTCCTTGCCCTAAACCCTCTCAGAAATGAGGGGAGGCCTGAGCCCAGCAGTGGGACGTATATAGGCTGTAACTTTACTTTACTTAGGAAGACCCTGCTGCCCATCTCCTTATTTGTTTTCTCTGTCGGCTCTTACGACGCCACGTTATGATATGGTGTAGTGGATATAGTATAGGGTTAAGTTTTCTAAATAACTAATACAAAACAAGATATTGCTCTATCTGTTCGTGAAGTTCCATCACAATTTCACCAGTCGGTCGATATCTGCTCGAGTCGTAATGTTGTTTGATTACGCGTACATACACACATACTTAATAATTTCTCGGTCAAATTATAATTCTAAAACAAATTAGTGTTGAAAAAAGGTAGACACGTATTTCTATGCTCCGGGCTTTTTTAATTGTGAACCAATATAAAAACAAAAGATCATTGTTGTTTTATATATTAAAGTGTAGATAGTGAACTCAGTAATAACATAACATAAATAACATAAACACTCACGCCTGTCACCCAGAGGGATAGGCAGAGACTACAGACTTCCATTTGGCATGATCCTGACACACCTCTCTCGCCTCCTTCACATCCATACACCTACGCATACATGCTCGTCGGTTAAGGGTACTCCTAATTTGGCCCGTTTTCAACAAATCGCCAATTTGGTCGATAAATTTTCGCCTAGGACGTCCCTTTCCGACTCTGCCATTCGCTTCTGCAACATAAATTTTCTTTGTCACTCTTTCCTCATTCATTCTTTCCACATGACCAAACCACCGAAGCATTCCTTTCTTAATCCTGGTCAAAACATCATCTTGCAAACCACACTCTTCTCTTATTACACAATTTCTTACCTTGTCGTTCAGATTCAGCCCTAACATACTCCTTAAGGACCGCATTTCTACTGCGTTGATTCTACTCTCGTGCTTCTTCTGCCACACCCAACTTTCACTACCATACGTTAAAGTAGGGATCAACACAGCATTGTGAATTACCATACGTGCCTTTATTGACACATTTTGACTCTTCACAATAGAGTGCAGGGCCCCATTTACTCTATTTCCCGCATTCACTCGTCGTTCTATATCCTTATCATATCTCCCATCCCTGCTAAATACGCAGCCCAAATATACAAACTCATCTACTTGCTCTCAGTAATATAATAGTGAAAACCGTTTATAAAAAGTTTTGCTTACTTCGAAGATATAACGAAAAACCATTTTAAAAAATTATACACAACGGACGAATTCTGTCATAGTACACTACGCTCGCTGCAGCGTACACTTGTGGTGAGTCATTTCTATTACGTCTGACGGCTTGAAGACACACGAGCGAAGCGGACATTTTTACATATAAACAAAGCGGACATACAATACTGCATTACAATGACAAGAAAATGTACAAAATGCGACAATATTATTTTTAATAGACAGTTTTTGAAATGTTCTCACTGTAAAAAATTGAATCATCTCACTTGCACGAATATCTTAGAGAAATTGTTTTAATGAAACAGAAGGAAAGTCATAACTGGAACTGTGAAAATTGCAAAAATAAACGTCGAATTACAAATAACCCATCAACATCAGCTACAATACAGGCAAGTAATACATCGACACCACGAGTCTTTGCTACACGCCGGAGTAAAAATAATGTAAACATTACAACTGCAAACTCTTCTGCATCTCTCTACTCTGAGGTTTCGGAGGATGATGATTTCTCTGTTTCCAAAACACCGAATTTAAACAGAAGCTGTCCCGAAGAAGGTCTTATTATGAACGAGGTTTTGGATGACCTCAAAATAAAAATAGCTAACTTAGAAAATAAACTCCAAATAGCCGCAACAGTAATAGAAAATTTATTGTTGGAAAATAGCTCTCTAAAAAGACAAATTTTAAACTATGAAAAAACGAAACATCTGACACACATATGTCGAACAACGCCGATAAGAAGTGGTAGTTTAAAAGGACGCAAGAACCTAAATAAAAATAAATTTGATTTTACATACTTAGACCAAACAAAAGATGAATTTGTTACTCAACCACATAATGAATCAGATGAAAATAACTCATCCAGCCCAAAAAAGACATCGGAGAATGTAAGAAATGTGGATAATACTACTGAATTGCCTGCACAGGAAAGAGAAGACTCCACTGACAATACTATAACAAATGAGACGAAAAAAAAGGTATTAATATTAAGTGATCAAAACGGTAAAGGTTTTCGCAGTTTACTCCAAAATATAATTGGTAAAGAATTCCAAGTGACATCTATAGTAAAACCAAATGCTTTTCTATCACAAATTTTAACATATTGTAATACTTAAATATTGGTAAATTAAATGATCAGTTGCGTTTCTTGTGTTCTCAATTTACCATTAAACTATGGTGACACAAAGCAACATTATAAGTTATATATGAGTAGACTGATGTTAAGAGAAATACTCAGTGTGATTACAGAAATAGATTTGTTGATTATAACACCATCAAAACGCAATGTTTAAAACAACCTAACTCAAAAATAGTGCAAAAAGAAATTACACAATACTTCAAAAAAAAAAAATATCACAAAGACGAATAATATTACTAATAATAACACAAATATAAGTAAAGTTCAAATAACTATTCCATATATTTTCAACAAAGTAAAACTTAAACAAGCTAATGCTATTCTAGATCCTAACAAAACTATAGAAAGTGACAAAAATTCAGACTTTTTTCGTAAATAAAGATGAAAATTGTTTTAATATAATTCACTTAAATGTTCAAAGTATTAAATCAAAAACAGAACAATTGGAATTGCTAATGCTGGAGAAAAACATCGATGTATGTTGTTTCTGTGAAACTTTTTTAAAGAATTACGAAGTTGACATATTTCAAATTGACGGATATAAAAAATAGCTCATTTCTGAAGGAAACGTAAATAGGGAGGCGTTGTTGCCATTTTTGTAAAAAAATCTATTGATTACCACGAACTTCAAGAAAAATAACAATACGAACACGAAATTGTTATAAAAATATATTTGTATTGGTGATGATTTTGTTGTATGATTTTAGTGTAAATATATTAGAAAATCATAAACAAAGTAAATCGCTACTGAACATGTTTCAGGCTTATAATTACATCCTACTATTTTGATACCTACCAGAATTACTTCACACTCACAAACATGTATTGATAATATTATGACTAATATGAAACAATATAATGTTAGCGTATTAGATGTTGGGGTATCTGATCATACTTGTCAATTGATATCGATTCCCTCAAACAAAAGCTTTAAGAATAAGTTTTGGTATATGTTTATAAGAAACCCAGACATGTATATAGATTTTCTTAAAATACCTATCACAGATTAATTTCACAGATGTTTATTCACAATGTAATCCCAATGACGCGTATACAATATTTTTAGATCAGTTTAGTCTGATTTACGGTCTTTGTGTGCCAAACAAAAAAATTTAAATAACATATAAAAAGAGATTAAAGTGGAAAACAAGAGGTATTACGATATCCAGTAGGAACAAAAGACAGTTATATTTAAAGAAACGGTATACAAACTGCCGTGCTGCGAAAAATAGATACAAAAGTTATTGTAAAATTATGAAGGCAGTTACTAAGCAATCAAAAAGAAATGCAAACATTAACTATATAAACCAAGGTAGTAACAAAAGCAAAGCTACGTGGCAAGTTATTAAACAAAATACTACAAAATAAATAATATTAATGAGACAATAGAAACTATTCAAAAAGATGACATTACAATTAATCAACCTCATGACATAGCTAAATTAATGAATGACTATTATATCGAATTAAATAATCCTATCCAATCTATTAGCGACATAACATTCAAACCACTGACTATTCCTAATTTAAATAGCATTTTATGACCCCTGTAAATATTTCCGAAACTATTAACATTATGAATAATTTAAAGAATAAAAAAGTATAGGCTACGATAATATACCGATGAAAGCAATAAAATCAAGTACACATTTAATAGCGGAACCTCTAACGTATATTATAAACTTGACCTTAGAAACAGGAATTTTTCCAAATGAGTTGAAAAAAAACACTAATAAAGCCTTTATACAAAAAAGGTGCCAAAAATGACATGAACAATTATAGACCTATTGCTCTATTATAAAATTTTTCAAAAATATTCGAAAATGTCATATTAAATAGGTTAATATCATTTTTAGACAAATATAAGATTTTAAATGTAAATCAATTTGGGTTTCAAAAAGGGAAGAACACGACATTGGCTATATTTAAAGTTTTGTAAGATATTTGGAAAGATGTAGATCAAAAAAGGACTTGTGTTGGTCTTTTTTTGGATCTGTCAAAAGCTTTTGAATGCGTTGTTCGTAATATATTGATAAAACAGCTTGAACATATAGGCATACGTGGAATAGCCCTAAAATTAATGGAATCTTGTTTAACTGACAGAATACAGGCAACAATATTAGATACATTTGACAAAAAAACAAAATCAATAACTCAAGTGCATTCCGATGTCAAAAAATTAAGACTAGGTGTACCGCATGGTAGCATACTAGGCCCACTGATGTTTTTGATTTACATAAACGAGCTTCCATTAATGATCAATCATCAATCATATATAATGTATGCTGATGATGCTACAATATTCTTATCAAGAGATAAACTAGATGATGCAAATTTTGTCAATGAAATTTATAACACACTAAACACAGTAGTGAACTGGCTAACTTCAATTAATTTAAAAGTAAATTTGGGAAAAACAAAACTAATAGAATTTAGGAATTATAGAAAAGCTTCAATTGAATTAAATATTATAATCGACGGTGAAAAAATTGAGAAAGTGCATGACATGAGATTTCTGGGTGTCAACATTGAAAGTAATTTGAACTGGAAATCACATGTTGAAAAAGTAAACAGTAGAATTTCAAGCAGTTGTTACGCCATATTAATATTGAAAAATGTAGCACCTAGAGATGTAGCAAAAAATTATTACTATGGTCATGTCTATCCACTTCTGACATATGGAATTATATTCTGGGGCAATTCTGTTGACTTTCAGCCCACATTTGTTTTGCAAAAAAAGTGCTTAAGGATTATGTATAATATTAATCAATATGACTCTTTAAGAAATGCATTTATAGATTGTAAATTTCTGACGTTGACTTGTATATATATATACATACTTGAAATTTCTGTGTTTGTCAAAGATAACCAACAACATTTTAATATTAAAAAAGAATAAAAAAAAACTTATGAACTCAATACGCTTTTGATGTGTGCATTGTTAAATCATCTAGTTACATTTATAGTAAAAGTACTTTAATAAGCGGAATCAGAATCTTTAACCGTTTAACAATATACATTAAATCATTAGAGAGCCCAAGATTTAAAAAAAAGTTAAAAGAATGGTTATTATCAAAATGTTTTTATAATTTAGATTAATTTTTGGAATTAATTATTGATTTATTGTAGTGCTTTATATTTTTATTATATTGTACGTCCGAAATGGACAAACTGTTGTAACTATACTCTGTATTTGTAAGACCTCATGTACACAGTTATGACAATAAATGATTATTTCATCTTATCTTATCAATCCATTCAGTCATTCCGAAGATTAGCATAGACAGAAAGACAGACAGATAGCGAGAAAATAACCCCTTCAGCTTAACCGAATCCAGATATGTGAATATTACGAATAAACACTACAATATTAGTTTTATGACGACAGTTTTAAAAGAATATCTACCTAATCTTTATTTTGTAGGGGTATATTTATTTTATTTTATTGGAGTATAGAGTATAGTGTAGGAATACCCTTAACCGACGAGCGTGTATGCGTAGATATATGGATGTAAAGTAAACGAAAGAGGTGTGCCAGAATCGTGCCAAATGGAATTCCGTAGTCTCTGCATACCCGTCTGGGTGACAGGCGTGAGTGTTTATGTATTATGTCTTTATTTTAGTCGGCCAACACGACTAAAGAATCCAAAAAAGCGCAGAAGAAAGCTACGATGAAGAACACAAAGAGTAAAGCCGGAGGTCGAGCGCAGAAGATACCTCAGCCTGCTCCGATACTTCTAGAAGCAGAGTCCGAGGAGGAGCCGGAAGTTGAGGTGAGCATTTCTTTTAATCCACCAGATTATGAGTAGATGTGGTCCATAGACATCTCCATCATTCCACGGTTAGGAACCAATATGCAGGTGTGTCTCATTAACACTGAACAAGCTTAAAGGTTAAAAATGTAAATTTAATAAACCATATTTTGTAGAAAAGTTTACAGCAAAGAGAAAAAAAATTTATAGCTTATGTCACTTCCACAAGTAAGACGAATCTAACAAACATCACGTATGTAAACATCCATCAAGCCGCTTAGGCTAGATACTTTATGCTACTGCTTACGGACCGGGTCATTGAACAAACAAAATGGCACCAACGCGAGCTCAGTGTTGTCTTGTTTTCAAACGCGAGCTGTCCGTGCAGTGTTTTCACTTTTAGATATTTTACACTATTTTAGGGTAAATCTACTAATGTGGGTAGGGGCATGCTTTTCTTCAAGTTGACTGGGTTTTGGATAATTTAGGGTAAAATCGAACTTCAGGTAACCCTATTTCTTAAATTTACCCACTACCAATGATAAAACTATTATTTAAGGATTTTATCGAAGGGGATTAGGTCAAATAAGCTAGAAAAGTGTAGAATGAAAAGTTTTTCATTCTGTATATGGGAATAATGGTATAATATTTTACTTAGTCTCATATGAATAACGAATATGTAACTGTTATTATAATTTGAAACTGAGAACGTCTTCTTCATCACAAAACTCAAGATTTTTAGTCGTGCAACGATATTCAAAACTTGCAATGGTGATGTTCTTTAAAATATTGAAAATTAAGTGCAATAAATAAGTCAATTTTAATTTTTTTTTCGATAATTTAGTAAGTATTTCTACAGGTTCCAGGGTAAAACCAAAATCATAAGTTGTAACACTGGTTCCGTGGTAGTTCATGAGTATTTAAGAGAGGGCGCTGATTTACTCTAAGCTTAAACTGTGAAAAACTTTTCTTCGCACGATCATATTATGTTGTAATTTATATCGATGATAGATACATACATGCTTGCGGAAAATATTACTCTCCTGGGGGTAGTTCGGTAGAAAAATTCTCCCATTCTCTACGTTCACCATACGAAACAGCAATATTAAGGGGATGATTACTTCGAAAATTTGGTGGTTTTTCTATTGCACATATTTTTTTAGGTTTTATAGTTTACGAACCAAATTTTGGTATGTGATTTTTGACTATAATGACCTTGGATTTCATAAAAGGAAAACACGATAACATGTATTTTTCTCGATAGAAAAAAAATTGCAAAATAGGCTCTATAATATAATGATTTCTTATATTTACGCGAACATTGCACATGATTAAAACTACTTTTACGGATTTTAACGCGTTTATTTTTACTTTTTATTTTTTAATTCCCGACGTTTCGGGCGCTTTCCAGCACCCATGGTCACGGGGTACTGAGATGACTGACGTCCCGATGTCATTGTTAAACCCGGAGTACCTTCAGCTTTTTTAATTATTGTTTATGGTCCGATCTATGCAAAATGAATGAAAATATACCACTGCAAGAACTCAGGACATAGTCAGTTCATTTTGCATAGATCGGACCATAAACAATAATTAAAAAAGCTGAAGGTACTCCGGGTTTAAGAATGACATCGGGACGTCAGTCATCTCAGTCCCCCGTGACCATGGGTGCTGGAAAGCGCCCGAAACGTCGGGAATTAAAAATAAAAAGTAAAAATAAACGCGTTAAAATCCGTAAAAGTAGTTTTAACAGGCTCTATAATAGTTACATTTCTCCATGACACTACAAATATTTTTCCAAATAAGTTCATGGTATTATTTTTAAGGCATAGTAAATTATCATATCTAAGTTCTTGTAAACCATTTTTGTAATCCATATCAAAGTTTTGTTAAAAAAAATGTTGTTTGGCGCTTGCTTAAATTTTTTTATGAGCGCGAGCTCGGTATAGCTATCTCATAATTTGCGTATTATTAAGTCGTTGCATCAATTTCATTTTGAAACTCCTTCAGTCGTCCGTGAGCTTCACGGAACGGAATTTTGAATTAAAAAAAAGTTACAGTATGGCTCTACCTCGTATAAAATAACGTCTTTACTAACTTTTTTTGTATTGCAGTTGGAGCAACCTGGCGCCGATACAGACGTGGAACTGCTCAACCAGCTAACTGGCTGTCCGTACCCAGAGGATGAGCTTTTGTTCGCGGTGCCGGTCGTGGCCCCGTACTCTGCACTCGTTAACTACAAGTGGGTTCGATTCCTGTTTTACGAACCGGTATATCCGGGATTGGTTACAGTTATCTCGAGCTAATGCGCCTAGTTGGCGATCTGGGTATTCTAAGATTAGGTCTATTTAGATTCGAATCCCGGATCGGACCAACAACAATCAGTTATTAAGTTTTTTGTCCAAAATTCTCAGTCTAAAGAAGTTGGTGGTATTTCAACCCCGTGCTTCCGAAAGCACGTAAAGTCGCTGGTCCTGCCCCTGATCTCTGTTCGGTCTTGTCGGATTGCCGTCTCGACCGATAATAATAATAATAATCTTCATTGATAAATATATTACATGCATAGAAATTTACAGTGGTCAACAGTTCGTAAACTAAGTACTGTTTTTCAGATTATATATTATGAGAGTGCACCTGTGCTTGCGGGTTGTACACGAAATTGCACAAAATGTTTCTTGCATATAAGAATCGGGCATAAATCGGAAGCATTTTTGACATAAACCCGTTATTTTTTTGTATGCAAACTTTTTGTTTTATGTGTGGTCAAATAATGTATTTCGTTCCTTTTATTTCAAATCAAATCAAATAATTTATTTGTAAAACATAGGTAAAAAGTTACAAACTTGGTGGAAAAGGTATGATAAGTAACACTATGTTTCGCCTTAAAAGGCATACAAATATTTGTTTATCACTATCACCTGGCAATATGAAAATTAATTTTTAATAAAATAACAATTTCAATTATAATTGGTTTAGAAATTACATAAATTATTATCTTAATTATCAATTACATAATTCTTAATAACAACGATAAAAATATAATAAATAAATCGTATATTAATTATTGTAGGTACTAAAAATAGACCATAGATATACTAAATACTATATACTAGATTACTCTTAATTTCGCTTCCAGATTCGCTTAACAGAATCTCTGCTCCCCAGGTACAAAGTGAAACTAACCCCGGGTACCAGCAAGCGCGGCAAAGCCGCAAAAACCGCAGTCCAGGTGTTTCTGCGGGACAAAGCGTGCACTCCCCGGGAAAAGGACTTGCTGAAGGCCGTCAAGGAAGAGAACATCGCGAGGAACTTCCCCGGGAAAGTCAAGCTGTCCGCCCCGCAGTTGCATAAACATAAGAAATGAATTGAAATATTTTTCAGCGTTTTTTTATTTTTTGTTTTTTTTTACGACTGCCTAAGAAGGGCATATTTTTGGAGTGTACGTACGTACTTATGTGTGTATGTCTATTTCTTTGGCAAGCTCTGTAGTCTAAACAACTTACTGGATCTTAACATATACGTGGTAGAGCCACGCTGCTGTTATATCAATGGCTGTAGCACAAATGGATGGGCTCGGCCGGGGCAGGACCACGCTCTCACAGACTACCAGCGTAAAATAGCAGATTAATACTGTTGTGTTTCGTATGGTGAGTGAAGAGATCCGGAGACCCCTTTTCTACTAGAATCGAGGCATGCTAATTAGGCAATTTGTGAAAGTGTAAGAGATTATGTTAGGTTAAAACAGTAATTAAAAAACTAGACTACATAAAATAAGCTTACTGAATAGTGGAAAGCTTAAATCTTATGTCACTTTTATAATTAAGACTATTCTAACGACACCACATTTTTTATAGAACAAGGGCGACAAAAGAGCGCACATCCACTTGATGGTAAGTGGTTGCTGTGGATAGACATCCACATTTATCTTCACTTAAGAATCAAAATGCAGATGCGTTGCCAGCCCTGAGGACTAAGATAAAATGCCTCGTTTCCAGTTAAAAGGGTATTCGGTTCTCTACACTCACCATACGAAACACAGCAGCATTATGCTGCTATTTTAAGCTGGTATTCTGTGAGAGCGTGGTCCCTCCGTCGGTCGAGCCGACCCATTCGTGCTGCAACCATAATATAGCTGCAGCGTGGCTCTACCACGGAAAAAATACTGGCTTCTTTTAAGCTCAGGAGGTTGTTTGCTATTAAAACCATAAACAACCATTATTAAAATTTAGTACGACTGCCTGCCCTGGCAGGCAGGCTTTTAATAATGGTCGTACTAAATCGTAATCTTCGCAATGGCTGAACCAATTGTAATGAGACTTTACAGAGAGCAATGCCAGAAGTGATCTGCATTATATTTTATTTAAAAAAAATATGACAATATTTTATTTTGAAAATTTGATTAAGTGGATGGTTTTCGATTATATTATCTAAACTACGCTACATAAATAGATTTTACCTAGACGAAGCCGGAGAGAGGTTCGCTAGTTATATATAAATAGAAGAAAATAGACATTAATTTATTATATGTAGATGAAAATTTTGTTTTACTTAATGCGAATTCTGTAATTTATTTTAGCTTACATCATTCCATTCTAAATACTCTTTTTTTATGAAGTGTTAAAAATCAATGTCATATTTATGTCATTACCAATAACATGTTAGTTTTCATCAAAGACTTGCTATGTATGCTACTAGACGGGCATTACGGTACTAATTACTAATACATTGCGCACTAAGTTCGGTCAATTCTCCGCAACTTCTTTAGTCGACTGTGAACGAGCGAGAAGACTGTTCTTTGTTTTGTAACCGTGAACGTTGCTTGCGAGAATCTAACAATGATTTTGTTTAATGTGAGTAAGAAAACGTTGTTATTATTCATGTTCGCACTTTTTCAACGTGATTTGAAGTTTAACATATTAGGATGTAACTTAATATTAGTAACCTAAAAACAATAATTGTCGTTAATAAAAATATAATTAGGTGGCATATTTAGGGCTGATCCTCATTATAATGCCGTTCACAGTTTGTTCTCGGTCCGATCTCGGTCTGATAAAATATTATCAAATAAAAAATATCTGTATGCATTCATTTTTCATACTATCCGTAACAGTCAAGTTTCGTTGAATAAAAAAGTCAAGTTAAAAAAGTCAAGTTTCGGTCGAATTCCATTCCATTATAACAAATCAGACCGAGATCGAACCGAGAACGAACTGTGAACGGCAAATGAGGATCGGCCCCTATCGTGCTAGCTACGTGGCACAGTTTATGTTCTGATTTGCCAGTCTAGTAAGATAAGTTAGTGTTTGGTTTGCGTCCATTTACGAAATGTTACACTATTTTACACGATCCTATGAATTTGTTGCACAGGTAACTTGGTTTTTTATTGTAAACAATAATTGTTGAAATATAAGTGTCCAAAGCATTATTTGTAGTTTTTATCTTCTGGTACTCCTGACGATCGCAGCCTGCAATCCTCTCTACATCGGAAGAGAAGGTTTTTTTAAATACTAAAAAAAAACTACACTAGCATTTTACTTCTGCATCGTGGGGGGGAGGGGGGGCAGTTTACATATATTTATTTCACAAGGACAAACATGTGGGCCATACATATACTTGTTCTGTGCGGGATTCTAGTCTGACACTAAAGGCCATTAATGTTTTTTTAAAATTAAGAATGATAAACGATCGCACTGCCTACGTGATGGTAAGTGGATGCTGTGGCCGATATACATTTACATTAATCCTTGAATAAGAATCAAAATGCAGATGCGTTGTCACCCCTGAACACTAAGATGAAATGCCTCGATTCCAGTAAAAAGGGTCTCCGGTTCTACACTCACCATACGAACAAACATATCAAGTATTAAGCTGATATTTCATGCCGGTATTCCGTGAGAGCCGTGGTAGCTCAAATGGTTAGCGCTCGCTGTAAGTTTCACAGTACGCGAGTAATCCGGGTTCGATCCCCGCCGGCACCAATAAAATTGTTATTTACAAGTACTTATCACGTGCTCGGTGGTGAAGGAAAACATCGTGAGGAAACCTGCATATCTAAGAAATAAGAAACAAATATTTTGAAGACGTATGAAGGACATTTTTGAAGACGTATGGGACGATACGACGGACACTTCTTTGCCCTTCACACCGAATTTTGCTCCCGGCGGCCAGCCTCAACAGAGATTAGCCATCGACGCAGAACAGGATTATAGTGTCCAAATGTATGCGCAAGTACAGGTGCGCTTTATATTCCCTCACTTTGATAATCTGATGGGACGTAAAACCGAAACAACTGGAAAGAGCTTTACTTGCTTTCCGGTGAGACACCGTCACCTTCCTGACTCCGGGCAGCTACTAAGAATTTCTTTACTGAAAAACTCAATAATTGATTTTTGGCCCGACGTAGCATTTGATCTCAGGACCTCATGATCAGCAGTCGCACCACTACAACTGCGAGACCAACGACACAGTTGCCCTAAAGACACAGTTGTCTCAGATATGAGAGGGGTTACTTTAATTTTCTGTGAGAGCGCGTTCCTTCTCGATAGACTCGACCCTTTCATATTACAACCGAAATATGAAAGGGTCGAGTACCGCCCTTTCATATGAAACAGAAGTGAACAACGCACTTACAGTTCCCCAATTGATAAATGGTTTTCGCAGGCCATGGACACCTACAACCGTCTTAAACAAAGAAGGGACAGATGCGTTGTCACCTCCGAGAATTAGGAATTAAGAATGAATGTCTTCACAGCCTGTAATTATCTCTCTTAGCTCTTGAACGTAATTTATTACAAAATTTAACTTGCGATACTCTTCACCTCATGATGTTTTGTTTTGTATAAATGATAAATATAAGTCATACTTAGATATATACAAAGATACTTACATCAAAATGATCTTCACAGAAGAATAGTCTAGTTTTTGTAGACAATGTATTCGGGTATTTTCTTACCAGTTTTAACAAAATAGTTCTTACATTTAAATCAGTTGGCACTTGAATCCATAACTTTCCCGGCGTTCTTATGCTCATATTTTTGCATTCAGACACAACACAACAATGATATAGATTACTCATTATTAAACATTAAGGTGGCCCTAGTCGATAGCTCGAACTAAATGGTGGGCGGGGTTAAAATGCATGCTATCTCAGCCGACGTCACGTGCGAAAGGGATAGACGCTGTGATGAGCAGTAAGAAGCTCACTGCTCATAACAGCGTCTATCGCAATGCGCGACGGCGTCATCGCGTATACCTATGCGGTTCATTTTTGAATAAATAACAAACTCAAACGGCAATAGTGAGCTCCATGTCGCAGTGGCTTAGCAATGAGACTGCGCTGGGGGCCGCGGGTTCGAATCCCGCACGGAACAAATATTTGTATGGCCACAAATAGTTGTTCCGGGTCTGGATGTTTGTCCTTGTGCAATGTATGTTTGTAAACTGCCTCCACGATACATGAGAAAATCCTACTGTGGGGGTAACGTATTTTAAAAAGAGAAAAGAGAGAGGAAACAATTTGGTGTTATTATTATGAACCCAATTTAGTTGTTATTATGAAAGTTCTTATGTGAATTTAAGTAGATGTTGTTATTATATAATAATTTCATTTATTTGTTTTTACCTACTTTTAAACAGACTTCGAAAAAAGGAGGCGGTTCTCAATTCGTTGTTTTTTGGTTATGTATGTTCTGTTCCCCGGTTTCTCGAAGATGCCTGAAGCGATTTGGAAAACTATTTATTGGTTTGAAAGAATATACTTTCCAGATGATTCCATGGTAATCGATGATGGTCAGATCAGGATCTGATGATGGGATCTTGGAAAAATCGAGGGAACTCTTCAATAAATGACAGCAAATCAACCGCGATTGCTGCTATCGCGTATCTATGCATTCTTTACGCAACCACACAGTATAATATCACGCCTGTACCCACTAAAGGGACATAACTCTCAACTAAAAATAGTAACATTAAAAAAAAATTGAAAAAATATAACCGAGTTCTAAAACAGAAAAAAGTGTAAAATAATTATGTTTTTTTTTTAAATGTTTTTGTATCTTATTGTAGGTTATGCAAACATTACTGTAGGTACTATGTATTCTAAATAGGTATTTACTTTCCATAGCTAGTTAGCTATAATAGCCCACAGGCAACTCCCCGAAGTATATGTCAGCCAGTGTCAGGATAACTGCTTTTTTGACAGCGCGACTGATGTGAGTGGGGCTTTTATGTAGGTTAATTAAATAAATAAAAATGTTAGTTTGTAAATTGTTTATTGATTGTTTGTGTTCAATAGCGGTTTGCAATATTCTCTTATTACTTAGAAAGTTATCAACAATAGGAATTGTGTCACTGCGGGGACAAGCACAAACGTCTATCAAAATATGTAGTAACATACCTAAACGGAATAGGGCTAACAGCACAGACTTCCTTACAGAAGTCCAAAGAACACGTCTAGACAAGGTAAGTAATTAGAAGAAAACTACAATTTAGAGATCGATTGTAAATCAAATTCACAGTACAGACATAATTAGTGAAATATAAATAAAATTTTTAATTATTTATGATAGTAGATAACGCTAGTTGAAAACTAAACACTGTATGGGAATGACATCACTGAACGAGTCAGGTGGTCAGTCCATAGAAATAAAAGGCGCGATTGTAGAAAGAGATTCGTTACGAAACGTTTGTAGGCTAAGGGGCTTGGCCTGTTTATGCTATTGATAACGAAGGCTATAAAATATGTACAAATTAGAAACTAAATCCTATGTGTATAATAAATCTTATCTGTATTCATAACCCAATATCTGAGGTAGGTTGATGCGCTCCTTAATTTTTATATAGTTCGTATTATTCTGTAATAAATTAAATCTAAACCAAAATATATTATAATACCATAGCAAAACTACTACTATTTTATTTAGTAGTAGCTTATATTGTATTATAGTAAATTATATATAAAAAAATATGAGTATATCTGAGGTAAGGTTAAATATAAACAAATATTTGCCAAGTGCGAATCCGACTTCCGAGCTTCCGTACCATCTTACAAGATTTAATATACATATTACTATCGATCAAAAAAAAAGCCAAAAATACGTTTCTTTTTCTAGTAGGAAACCCTTTAATTTCAAATTTATTTTTACTATTTGCTGTTATATCGGCAACAGAAATACACGTTCTGTGAAAATTACAACCATCTACCTACTTATTACGGATTATGAGATACAGCCCGCTGACAGACAGACACACGGACAGCGGAAGCTTCGTAATAGGGCCCTGCTGGTTACCCTTCGGGTACGGAATCCTAAAAAGTACTTAGTTTTCCACTTACATCTGTATGGTTCTTTCTTCAAAGGACCATTAACCACCTGCCTGGTTCTCGTATGACATGACCAATGTAATACCTGGACTGACCTCCTCTTTGAGTTTGTTTCGGCAGATCGGGTGCTTCTTCTCAGTTTCATGTTTTTGTTGTGTTAAAGTGTTTTTTTTTTAAAACAACTTACAAAACAAATTTTATTTATCATTGAATGCCCTTCTTAGATTCTTATGTACTTACATAAATTACATATGAGATTCCTATACGTAAGCACGATTGTCGAAAATCTAAAAATTACCTATTCTAATTTATAGATAATTTTAAGATTTTCGTTAGTTGGCAAATTAAAGTAGTTAAGTACCTAATGTACTACCTGTATCGAAAGTTTATTGTTATGTACCTACCTGTTTTCGATTTTAACTAAACGTGCTTCAACAAACTTATGGGTACATTTTACCAGCTATATTCATCCCGGCTTCAGCAAATGGACACGAACAAAAGGAAGCAATTTTTCTAAATAAAGATGTACATATGTAGGTATTACAACCATAAATAGATAGCAGCGGCTAACCTAGTAAGCATGTGTGGGTGCGCGCTGCGTCCGTTCCACTGATCGGGGACAATTTGTAGCGAAAGGCAAGATGATTTACAACAAAAAGGAGCGCGCGAAATTTTATAAACAGACCTTTGGGAGTCCGGATGTCATGAAAAATCTATTGAATGTATCTGTTCAAAATAAAATTATTTGCATTTTTGAACAACTAATCTATCCCTGTATGGTAACTCTTTTGCAATTTTCGTTCTTCTTATGGTATTTATTTCCGCCCAAAGATGTGTTAAAAATAGTGTTGAAATTCGGAATTTTCGACGCTTATAACTTTTAAACATAATCATTTTTTACTTTTTTGTTTCCATACAGGGCTAGATAATGAGACAAATTGAAATCATTTTTTATTTTATACGTACACCATCAAACAGTGGAGTAATCGCCAGACTACGTTTGTATGGAAGAACGAGTGACTAGTGTACCCTTAAAAAGTATCTTATTCCTTTGCAAAATCGGCAAAATTCTAGGATAGTGACGTCACGAGTATTACATCATGGCGGCTAGCGTTTTCACGCGAAAACCTGTTAGCTCGCGAGGCCACGCGTAATATGACACTCCCGTTCGCTCGCGACCGTAATGGCGGGAAAATTTGCAAATTAACAAATTTTTTTGCTATATTGCAAATTTTGCTATATTTTCACTTTGAGACAATATTTATGGATAAAACTTACAGGAATTCTTGTTGAATGTATAAACTATTGAATAAAATTATTTTGGTTGCTAGAAATTATAATAAAATTCATAAATTACCCTTTATAGCATAGTAGTAGTATATACTTCACTTTTAGTGCCAAAATTACTACTAATTTGAATTCTACACTTTTGTTTTTGGAGAAATTTATATGAAAATGTTTGGAAATATGTATATTTTTATGTTTTATGTGTTTCTATTCGTTACTCATAACAAAATATTAAAATATTAAAAAAAATTAAAAAAAAAATAATAATAATATTTATCTGTATGACATTTCGAACAATATTTCAAAAATATTTTTGTGTGAATTCGAAATAAATACAACGTCAAGTTATTTGAAATATGTAAGAAAACTATTTTTACTTACATTTTACACTAAAAATAAATGAGAATTGGAAAAATAACACATTTATGACCCAACCGTCAAAATGGGCGTTTCGTATTTCGAAGTACTTTTGGTAATTTACTTTTCACTTTTTATACCACAAATTATATATCTACGTGTTTACTATATTACAAGGAATATAAAAAAAGTATAATGCTTTCGTTTTTAGTCCAGACACAAATATAAAATTCTATAAAAAAGACGGAGCACCTTCATCAAAGCGACACGTGGAACGCCGAAAGTTCAGAGTGATTTCTTTTTTTTTTCTAAGAAACATTGCCAGGTTATGGTTTAAAATAAAAGAGCATATCTTTGTCTTTGATACTATTATCTATTGCATAGTGTCTTTGGTTTTGTTTTAATTAAAAAAAAATCTTTTTTCAAAGGGTAGTACTTATGGTACACATGTGTATCTTGATCGAGCGAGCGGAAAGATGTTTATGTCTGATACACATGTGTAGCTTGCTCCACTTTACAGGAAGCGGTAGATTATAAGTAACTTTTATGGCACTATTCGATTTAAAAAAAATTTATTAAAATTATAGTGTTAAATTTTTTTGGAAAATGTGTGTAATACGCTATTGTTTTTGCACAAATGAACGCTATTCTTGTGGCTTTGGTCGTTTATTTAAGGAATCTATGAAATAAAACTGTGAAAATACTTTTTTGAATATGTTTTTAATTAAAACTAAGAAATTGATAAGTTTACTCCACTATCAGTTAATTACAAAATTAATATAAATGAAATTTACCTACCAATACTTTGAAGGTTTTCTATTGTGAAGTTATTCGAAATTAAACAAATAGGATGTTTATTTGACTACAAGGAGTAAGCCATAGGTTTAGTCTTCATCCTCTTCTTCTTCGCTGAATTCCTCACCACCTTCTCCGGGAATCTCTGCAGGGGGGGCTGGCGGTAGATGGGCGATGCGGTACACCTGAATTAATATTAAATCTAATTTTAATTTATGATGCATTACTACGTAGATTAACCTTGTAGTGATGCTTTAGTAATATTCACTACCCTATAACATTCCGTGGGTGTTAGGAAGCAATAGAGGGAAACTGGAACAGGAAATGGGCAGCATCATTTTCCTGATAACGAATCTAAATAATTAAAAAAGCTGCGATAGCCAACCCGCTCGCCAAGCTTTGCAATTATGGCAAAATCCCTCCTATGAGGCAATCTATGGGGAGGCATATGTTCAGCAGTGGACTTCAATAGGCTGTAATGGATGGATGTATAGAAGATAATCTACCAGGAGCACATGACCCACTGAGAGATGAACTTATTCAATTAACGGTAACGTTACAACTATGGCAAGTATGTCCTCTATGAGGCTATCAATGGGGAGGCCTATGTTCTGCTGTGGACTTTAATAGGCTGTAATTGATGGATGGATGAACTATGTAGGTATTGCCAGCCGCTTGGTCAGAGTAACTTAACTAGACACTGCGTTGCAAAACCCTGGTTCGAAAAGAACTGATGAACTGAAATTATTAATTGCACCACCACACAACAAGGAGCGCGGCGGATATTTGTTTGCCCCAAAACCCTCCTAGAAATGAGAAGAGTTCTGTGCCCAGCTCCACTGCTCGTAGCCACAAGGAATAGACACAAACTAGTTGATTATACAACAATCCCAAATCATCATCATTGCATTCTTATACGTGGTAGAGCCATGCCGCAGCTATATTATAGTCGTAGCACGAATGGGTCGATTATCATGCAACGTTTCACGTTTATGTGACATCAAGTAAATTGAATATACCGTTTTAAGTTTTACTTGAAAAAGTACACTTAGGCGAGGATGGGATGCTTGAATATTTGGGGCCCCCTTTTGCACAGGGCCCGTAGCAATTTTTTTTATATATATAGGATAGGGTGATAAACGAGCACACAGTCCACTCGATGGTAAGTGGTTACTGTGGCCCATAGACATCTACATCTATCCTCCGCCATAATTCGTAATCGTTGTCACCCGTAAGGCCTCGTTTCCGGTAAAAAGGGTATCCGGTTCTCTACACTCACCATACGAAAAACAGCAGCATTAGGTATGTTCCAAAATAGAACCCAGTGTACTGTCCAATGCAAATGACGTCATGAATCGACGCTGTACTGGTGATTCGTTACAAAACATAGGACAGTATATGACGTCATACATTTGCGCCATATTGGAAAAGTGTTGGCGATTATTTTGTCATTTTGTGCTCCAAAAATCATTGTATCCTCCTAATGGAGACCCCAGCAATTATTCTATTTTTTTTGTATTTGAATAAATAAAAACAAATTCTGGCATTCTTCATTCAGCGCACACACAATTAAAAATTGTTTTATTATATCCGACACAATATGGCGGCGGCACGACAGTACAATATAATGTCAATTGATGACGTCATTTGTATGCGGCAGTATACTGAAAACGTTTCGGAATATACCCTTAAGCTACTATTTGACGCTGGTATTCTGTGAGATCTGAGTATAAGTAGTTGTAGCACGAATGGGTCGGCTCGACCAGGGAAGGACCACGTTCTCACGGAATACCAGCATAAAATAGTAGCTTATGCTGTGTTGCATATGGTAAGTGTAGAGAACCGGGGACCCTTTTTACTGGAAACGACATTCCATCTTAGCCCTCAGGGATGACAACATATCTGCATTTTGATTCATAATTGAGGATAGTTAGTTGACGTCTGTGCGTCACAGCACATCCACTTATCATCAGCTCGACTGTGTGCCGTGTGTGTGAAAAAAATTTCATCCTATCTAAAGTTCCTTGCTGAACATAAGTCTCCTCTAGATTGTCTAATATAGGGGAATTTTTGCCATATAGTTGCCATGCTTGGCAGGCAAGTTGTCAACCACAGTTGTTTATTATTATTATTCATTTGTCAACAGCAAGATACTGCTGCCCATCCCCGGTTTCATTTCCCTCTTCCACCTCATTCGATATTATATTATCTGTAATTATTTATATACCATATTAGATTATATTACACTAGTCCATAACACCCAGAACGACGATAGGGAGCAACTTCAAAGGTACGACATTTTGGTACTGCTACAGGTCACCTTTTCAGCAAGAGCAAGCGTAAGTAAATCCTGCCTATTATGGATTTTTTATGGCATCAGGTGACAAACGAGCACTCAGTCCACCTGATGGTAAGTGGATGCCGTAGCCCATAGATATCCACATTTATCCTCGACTAAGAATCAACATGCAAATGCGTTGTCACCCCTGAGGACTAAGATAGAATGCCTCGGTTCCAGTAAAATGGGGCTCCGGTACTCTACACTCACGATACGAAACGCAACCCCATTACGGTGCTATTTTACGCTGGTATTCTGTGAGAGCGTAGTTCTGCCCCGGTTGAGCAGACCCATTGGTGCTACAAATATAATATAGCTGCAGAGGACTAGCTACGGATAAGGCCTATATGTTCTTTACTCGACAGTTTAAGGATTGATGAAAAAATAAAATACTGCTTAAGGTTGGGATATAGCGTAAATGTAAAATATATTATCTTAACCAGCTTGTGATAGTTATTAATGCTGCAAATATTGAGGGATCAAGGATAGAACCCTGTGAAATACTCAGTAGCATTCATTGAAGTAATACGTAAGTGTACATTACACTTTGCTTAGTACCTAATAACACTTAGCAATTTCGAATCGGAAAGCAAAGCAATTAGCAATAGCAAAAATAGCAATTACGTTATTTTGACATTATAGTGTTTTAATTAATTTTTTACATTTTCGCGAGTACTACACATGGAATAAAACCAATTTTACGTATTTTATCGCGTTTATTTTTAACTTTTTTCTAATTCCCCACGTTTCGGGCACTTTCCAGGGCCCATGGCGACTTTTAGACCCGCCGCATACGTATGGAATTCCGTTTCATGTTTCCGTTTCAGAATTATGATTCGGGATTCCGAATCCAAGTCCATATAAAATCAATGACCCGTCACACACCTTCGGTAGCTTTCCGTACCTAATTTTGCGGGAAAAACGAGATTCCGTATGTGTGTGGCCGACCCGTTCGTTCCGTTTCACAATTCTGAAACGGAATTACGTATATAGTATGTAAACCATTTCGCGTTTCCTTTTCGGGATTTCGAACGTAGCAAGTCCATATAAAGTGAATGGCCCGTCACACACCTACGGTAGTTTTCCGTACGGAGCAAAACGGGATTCCGTATATGTGGGGCCGACCCGTTCGTTTTTTCGGGATTCCGAAACGGAATTCCGTATGTAGTGTGTGGCAGACCTAACTATAACATCGGGACGGCAAACACCTCCGTCCCTCCCGTGACCATGGGCGCTGGAAAGTGCACGAAACGTCGGAAATTAAGATTTCAAGATCGTCCCCACCATTATTACATCAAATTTGATAAACCACAAATCCTCGCAAAAGAGCACCGATTCCTACCAAGGATTATACACGAGGCTATTGAAATTACAATATCTTAATTTTAATAGAGAAGATGGATGGATGCTGCCATCTGTTTGGGATCCAATAATTTAACAAAATTAACACCAAACCAAAACATACAACTGCAAGACTTCAAGATACTGTTCCGCGTAGATCAGGCCAAAAATTAATATTCAAAAACAGAAGATAGCCAGGCTAACTATGACATTGGGACGTTAAACATCTCTCCCTCCCCCCCACCTCCGTGACCATGGGTGTTAAAAATAGGTTATATCCGTATAAATAGTTGTATGCAATTCTTTAGAGTGTCCCAATTGAAGCTTGCTAGTGATCGGGCGAGCACAAGGAATGCTTAATAACGATCGTACGATGAGTTTGAACATACGATCGTGCAATCAATGCTACAAATCCCTTTTGAGTGTCCTAATTGGTCACGCGTCATCGCGCGAGCTCAGCTACGCAAGGGTACCGACCGGTGAGTCGAGTTAGAAACGTGTAGAGACATAAGAGAGTAAAAAACTGTGCATCACAATAAATAGCCATTATTAAAATGGCGCCGTTGCGGTGACGGCACGGCGGCGGCATCGTGTCATCGCGCGATCTATTGTCGGAGGACAAGTGTCGGACCATCACACAATCTTTTTCATCGTGCGGAGTAATCGCATCGTTTGATCGTACGATCAGGAGTCAGTTAGGACGACGCCTTAAGGTGACCCTATAAAGGCCTATAGTGCCTTGGAAATTTTTCTCAGCATTCGTAGTGGATCCACTCGTGGAACCGAACCTATAAACTTCATCTATACAACGTCACCGTTTACATGCGATAGAAATTGCCTCTATAAAGTATTTTCAACTTAAAGAAATAACTAATTAATTAACATAAAAACTAATTTAAATTCAAATTCTATACCTCTTCATCGGCAAATGTTGGATCAGCCATCTCCATGACCTCGGGGCCCACGGAGTACTCTTCCTGGGGCCGTGGAAGCTGTAGAGGCGAGAAGTTGGGCGGCTCGTTCTTTAGACCCCACCCGACGTACATACATTCTGATCTCCTAGGCAAACACAATAAGCATTCGTAGCGAGAGGAATGCTGGTGGAGCTCTTAGGCTAGGCTCAAACATTTTTAAAATGATTTACGAGAATTTCATCTATGTTTTATCGCGTAAGACGCAATAAGAAGTAGAGAAGTAATGAACGCCACACACGGTCAGTTTAACTGATCAGTTCAAACTAAAACCGTTGATATTTTTCAAAATTGTGGATTTTCAATATATCGATCATTATATAAATTTATTTATGAATGTATCGAAAATACGATATTTTAAAAAATATCAACAGTTTTAGTTTGAACTGATCAGTTGGAATGATCAGTTTAACTGGCCGTGTGTGGCCACCGTAAGAAGTGTATCGTGGTCGAAGTATCACTGCATCGGTATGTCGGTAGTATAGGTACTGACATTAATATCTACACAACCGTATAAGAGTGATTTCTTTAAATCTTCTTTTATTGCTCAGTCCATACTGATCTGGAAACAGGGCGTTCTCATAACAAATTTTATTATATATACTATTATAGTTAGATCTATATCTATCTATGCAAATAAATAAAATTGAAGTGTCGCTTTGTAATGTCAAAATAACAGCTTTTTACTAAATGTAAAGTAAAAGTAAAAAGTTACAGCCTATATACGTCCCACTGCTGGGCTCAGGCCTCCCCCTCATTTCTGAGAGGGTTTAGGGCAAGGAAGTGTCCGCCGCGCTGCCCAAATGCGTGTTGACGAACTTCACATATCTTCGAAATATTTTTTTTTCTTATTCCTCAGACATGCAGGTTTCCTCACGATGTTTTCCTTCACCGCCGAGCACGTGGTAAATCAGCACTTAAAATTGCAATTAACAATTTCATTGGTGCCGGCGGGGATCGAACCCAGGTTACTCGCGTTCTGTTATATTTACAGCGAGCGTTAACCACTGAGCTACCACGGCTCTCACTTTTTACTTTCTCTTTCTCGCTTTTTACTAAACGCATATAAAAGTATAAACGCTACTTATAACAAAATCACAATTTTTAAATTTTTTGTCTGTCTGTTTGTTCAGGTTAATAATTAATCTCCGAAATGGCTGAACTGACTTTGACGGGACTTTCACTGGCAGATACCTGATATATAAGGAGTAACTTAGACTACTTTTATTTTTGAAAACTAAATAGGGTTTTACGCAAAAAAATTTAAACCCTAAGTTACACGCGGTCGAAGTCAAGCACGGAACAACTAGTCTAATACATATTATTTGACTTTTTATCTCCGTCGGTCGCTTTATAGGAGGTATTTGTTATTGGCTAGTTAGTGTAGTATTATAATGAATCCCTTGTTATATTTTGTCCCATGGCCCAGCATAGTGTTTTTACTTTTTATTCCATTAAACTATATATCCCATTTAAATATATGTTTAGGTATAAGTGTATAAGTGGCAGCCTCTTACCGGTAGGTGAAGTGTAGGGTGGCGCCCTACTAGATGGAGTGACGACGTGGTAAGACATGCAGGAAGTCGATGGATGCTGGTGGCTCAGGATGCTCAGGCTCCGTGCTTTGTGGCATTTATTGAGGGAGGTCTATGTTCAGCAGTGGACTTGTGAAAAGTAATGATGAGGATAATGAAGGGCTCGTTTACATATTTATTATTTATTTATTTAACAGTTTATGTACACACATACTTTGATAGAAAAATGGTAAAAACAAAATTATGTACAAAGGCACTACTTATTACATAAAGAAATTTCTTCCAGCAGGCCTATTGACGGATACCTAGTTGAAGGAAATATATTATACTCCAATATATATATATATATATATATATATATATATATATATATATATATATATATATATATATATATATATATATCGAATACATAAATTTTGCAAGCGCTCGAGTTTATTAATTTGCTCCTCGGTAGCATCCAAATAGCAGACATCAGCGTAATCTAAAATTGGCAATATAAGAGTCTGGACTATAGTAAACAAAGGTAGAAAACTTTGAAGGCGTTTTGTATGATAATGAAATATTTTCCTGCTTACATCCGTAACATGTGCGTCCCAAGTCAAATTGCAGTCGAAAATAACACCTAGGTTCTTGGCAGTATCTGAGTAGGGAATAGTGGCACCATCGATTCGTAGAGTTTGGAGAGAGAAGAAATCAAGCGTGCCACGCGCATGCCTTTTACCTATTATCAAGGCTTGGGATTTAGTTGGGTTTAATGTGAGACCAAATGATCTCGACCATTTGATAATCTTATTTAAGTCGTCATTCATAGCTTCAATCGCCAAGTTGGCTTCGGATGCCACAAAATTACGATATAACTGCAAATCGTCAGCATAAAGGTGCTAGTTAGCTGACCTTGGTGATACAATTAATAAAAATGGCGAAAAACAGAGGAGAGAGGACTCCACCTTGAGGTACACCCGCAGTTACATTATACCATTGGGAGTATATTTCACCTGAACGAACACATTGTGACCGATCACGAAGATAGGAATCAAACCATTGAATAACATATTTAGACACATTAATCGTCTTAAGGATACTTATAAGGATATCAAAATCAATAGAATTGAATGCACTGTTGAAAAATCTAGTAAAACCAGAACTGTTAAGTATCCATGGTCCATATTCCAACGGATATCGTCAGTAACTTTAAGAAGGGCAGTTGCAGTACTATGTCCAGGTCGGAAACCAAATTGATATGGACATAAGATATTATTTCTGTTGAGAAATGCTGAAAATTGCTTGTGGACAATGTGTTCAAGAACTTTAGAAAGAAATGGCAAGATTGAAATAGGACGTAAGTGAGAGGGAGATGAAGGATTAGAATAGGGATAGGGATAATGTGTGCTAATTTCCTGTTATTTATACAACATTTATACCTTATTAAAATAATAATACAGTATAATCATTATGAACATTGGCATATTATTACTGATTATATATGTATTACTATATTCTATTCATGTACATTTTATTGTATCTTATATCTTTATTACTCGTTTTTCAGTGAACGCACGTGCAAACACCTGCGACAGTTTCTCAAATCATCCAGGCAGAGAATGCCATAGTATATCTCTTAATTTATGGTGTAGATGTCTAAATCAAAAACTTAATCATCATCATCATCATTACAGCCCTTCACAAGTGCACTGCTGAACATAGGCCTCCCCACGGTATGCCACAAAGCACGGTCCTGAGCCACCTGCATCCATCGACTTACTGCATGTCTTACCCGGTCGTCACTCCGTCTAGTGGGGGGTCGCCCTACACTTCGCCTACCGGTACGAGGCTACCACTCGAGAACCCTTTTCCCCAACGGTTGTCGGTTCTTCAAGCTATATGGCCGGCCCATTGCCACTTCAGCTTACTAATCCGTTGGGCTATGTCGGTCACTCTGGTTCTACTGCGGATATCCTCATTTCCAAGTTTATCACTAAAGTCTCGCTAAAACTCACCAATTTTGATGAAATTTTTTGTGTGTATTAAAGTCCAGGGAGCTTCTGAAAGCGGGTGGAACAACGGTACTTGAAGTCCTTCAGAAGCTCTTCAATTCCGTCCCCCATGGTGGCACTACTCCGGAGGCGTGGAGCAGAAGTGCGGTGGTCTTGTTCTTTAAAAAAAGGCGACAACGCTCTCTTGAAGAACTACAGACCGATTTCCCTTCTGAGCCGCGTCTACGTGCTGTTTTCGAGAGTCATTACGAATCGTCTCGCACGCAGACTCGACGACTTCCAGCCTCCCGAACAAGCCGGTTTCCAAAAAGGCTTCAGTACCATAGACCACATACATACCCTGCGGCAGATTCTGTACAAGAAGACCGAAGAGTACAATCTGCCACTTCGCCTGGCGTATGTGGGCTATGAGAAAGCCTTTGATTCCGTCGAAATTTGGGCGGTGCTACAGTCCCTTCAGCGATGTCAAGTTGACTGTCGGTATATCGAAGTGCTGAATTGTTTGTACAGTGGGGCTACGATGGCTATTCGAGTACAGAACCAGAGTTCGAATCCTATCCAGCTGCAGAGAGGTGTAAAACAGGGTGACGTTATATCCCCGAAACTATTCACCGCTGCGTTGGAAGACGTTTTCAAGCTACTGGACTGGAAAGGATACGGTATTAACATCAATGGCGAGTACATCACTCACCTTCGATTTGCCGACGATATAGTCCTTATGGCAGAATCCCTGGAGGACCTTAGCACTATGCTCAATGACTTCAATGGTGTCTCCCAACGGGTAGGTCTTAAGATGAGCATGGACAAAACAAAGATCATGTTTAATGTCCATGTCACACCTATGCCGGTAGTTTTTGGGAGCACTACGCTCGAAGTTGTTGACGAGTACGTTTACCTGGGACAAATAGTCCGACTAGGTAAGTCCAACTTCGACCGAGAGGTCAATCGACGGATTCAACTCGGCTGGGCAGCGTTTGGGAAATTACGACACATCTTCTCGTCAGGTATACCTCAATCTCTGAAAACTAAAGTGTACAACCAGTGCGTGTTGCCAGTGATGACTTACGGATCAGAGACGTGGTCCTTCACTGCTGGACGTATGAGGACGCTCAAGGTCGCTCAGCGAGCTATGAGGAGGGCTATGCTCGGAGTTTCTCTGCGTGATAGACTCAGAAATGAGGATATCTGCAGTAAAACCAGAGTGACCGACATAGCCCAACGGATTAGTAAGCTGAAGTGGCAATGGGCCGGCCATATAGCTCGAAGAACCGATAACCGATGGGGAAGAAAGGTTCTCGAGTGGCAGCCTCGTACCGGTAGGCGTAGTGTAGGGCGACCCCCCACTAGATGGAGTGACGACCTGGTAAGACATACAGGAAGTCGATGGATGCAGGTGGCTCAGGACCGTGCTTTGTGGCAATGCTTCGGGGAGGCCTATGTTGAGCAGTGGACTTGTGAAGGGCTGTAATGATGATGATGATGAAAGTCCAGGGACCCGGATGGTTTAATCTGCAAAGTCAATTCTCGTTTCGCCATAATATCATACGAAAGCATCATCTAGTAATATCAGTGGCAGTAGATTGAACGCGGCTGGGGTGATCCTTGGGCCACCTCAAAGCTGCGAACTAGTAATTTGGCTTCAGTATGCTTTATTTAGTCTCGTGGACTTGTTTTTTTTTTCCAAGTAATATTAGAATTACAGACACTTTTCTACTGATTTATTATACATACATAAAATACATAAACACTCACACCTGTCACCCAGAGGGGTAGGCAGAGACTACAGACTTCCATTTGGCACGATCCTGACACACCTCTCTTGCCTCCTTCACATCCATACACCTACGCATACATGCTCGTAGGTTAAGGGTACTCCTAATTTGGCCCATTTTCAATAAATCGCCAATTTGGTCGAAAAATTTTCGCCTAGGACGTCCCTTTCCGACTCTGCCATTCACTTCTGCACCATAAATTTTCTTTGTCACTCTTTCCTCATTCATTCTTTCCACATGACCAAACCACCGAAGCATTCCTTTCTTAATCCTGGTCACAACATCATCTTGCAAACCACACTCTTCTCTTATTACACAATTTCTTACCCTGTCATTCAGATTCAGCCGTAACATACTCCTTAACGACCGCATTTCTACTGCGTTTATTCTACTCTCGTGCTTCTTCTGCCACACCCAACTTTCACTACCATACGTTAAAGTAGGGACCAACACAGCATTGTGAATTGCCATACGTGCCTTTTTCGACATATTTTGACTCTTCACAATAGAGTGCAAGGCCCCATTTACTCTATTTCCCGCATTCACTCGTCGTTCTATATCCTTATCATATCTCCCATCCCTGCTAAATACGCAGCCCAAATGTACAAACTCATCTACTTGCTCGATCAACTCCCCTTCTATTCTTATTTCACAAATCGTTTTACTTTCTTCTCTTTCAAAAACCATAACCTTCGTCTTACTTGCGTTCACTTTCATACCCCTTTCTTTTAATGATCCGTTCATAAATGTAACCATCATTTGCAACTCGGCCGCCGACGTCGCAAGAATAACTTGATCATCGGCGTACAAAAGGCATTTGACGGTTAATTCACCCATTCTTAATCCGCATTCTTCAACTTTCAAATTTTGCAAACAACTGTCCATAAATAGGTTGAACAGCCATGGGGAAGCCACACAGCCCTGTCTGACACCTTTATGGATGTCAAACCAGTCCGAGTAGACCCCGTTGATCCTAACACAAGCACTAGAGTCCCTATAAAGAGACTCCAATACCTGTATCAAGCCAGTGCTCAACCCAAATGAGTTCAGTGTTTGCCATAGCAAATCCCTATCCACTCTATCATAGGCCTTTTCCAAGTCCATGAACGCACAAAAAACCTTTTGGTTTTTGGCCAGCAACTTCTGCGCGATCATGCGCATGGAAAAGACTTGATCTGTACATCCTGTACATGGCAACCAGTCTCAACAGAAGGTAATCAGGACAGGATTATAGTGCTCGAGTGTATGCGCAAGCACAGGTGCACTGTCTGTTCTCTTACGCTCATAGTCCGATGGCACGGTAATCCGACAAGACTGGAGAGAGATCAGTCGCAAGATCAACGGCTTTACGCGCTTTCCGAATCACTGGGGTGAAACACCGCCACCTTCCTAACTCTATACTGCTACTGAGGATTTCTTGAAAAATTAACTTAAAACCCAATAACTGATTCGGCCCGACCCGGGTTTTGAACCCGGGACCTCATAATTAGCTATCGCATTTACAACTACTACATTAAGATGAGGCAGTCAATGTGGACCGTACAAAAAGGTTTACTCACTTGCCATCTGTAGCATAAGCGACGGCACCAGGCCAAAGGTTGCTCCTAATCACGGCGAGAGCTCGCCCGCCCAGCACGGAACCAACTCGGGTGGTCCATGTCGGGCCAGATGTAGAAACATCTGCTGAAAGCGGGGCAAACAATGATGGACCCGTCTCCGCTTCAATGCTAGGGGGATTCTCATCTTCCTCCTCTTCGCCTTCCTCCTACACAATTATAACAAGGTCACCTAGGGTCATGCTTAAAGACTGCAAAATCTAAAGTTGCATCGGCGTGATAACCATAGAATACACAATAGAATGGCTGTCAAACTTATTTACAAGCAATTACGTCGTATTATCACTACTACAAACCCGATTCGCTATTTTGACAGACTGAGTAAATTTACACATTTTAGACTTTTGATTAAGTTTAAAATCATCATTAAAAAAATCGTTAAAATTTTGATATATATTTACATGTAAATAGTGTGCAATTTGGTATTTTCTAAATAATTTGCATGCGAAACTTGGAAACGATTGTTACGTCAAAACACATATCGTGTTGACATTTATACGTTTATTTGACATAAATGACACACATGTTAGTGACATTATATTGGCTACACGGGCTCCACCCACTCCCCCGTTCTATTATGTATGTATTATAGTATTCTATGGTGATAATACACTATGTATAATAAATAACCTATCTATAAATATGTATATCTCTTCACACTTTACTTCGTCACTACTTACCAGCGTTGCCAATTTCTTCTTCAGGCTGAATATTTGGGCGTGACTATATAATATATATTTTCACATTTCACTTGACTTTGTCACTACTAACGCAGGTAAAATTTTCAAATTTCTTTTTCAGGCTAAATTTTTCGGGGTTTAGGTACAAACTAACTAAACTTAAAATAACTTAAGAATTGATTATCTCTATACATGTCTTTTTCTATTGTCATTTAATGAATAAAGACGCGAGCAAATTTCAGTATTTATTAGGTTGTTATTAATATATGAGAAAGGTTTTTTTTATTATGCGTGACAAACAAATACACAGTCCACCTAGGTAAGTGGATGCCGTGGCCTATAGACGTCTACGTCTATCCTCAATCAAGAATTAAATGCAGACACATTGTCACCGCTGAGGCCTAAGATGGCATGCCTCGTTGCCACTAAAAATGGTCTCCGGTTCTCTACACTCACCATACCAAACACAGCCGCATTAAGCTGCTATTTTACGCTAGTATTCTGTGAGAACGTACGCGAGCAAACCGGGTTCGATCCCCGCTGGCACCAATGAAATTGTTAATTGCAATTTTAAATACTGATTTACCACATGCTCGGCGGCGAAGGAAAACATCGTGAGGAACCTGCAGAAGTTGCAAGAAACGCATTGGGCAGCGCGGTGGGGGTTTTAAGGCAATTCCTTGCCCTATACCCTCTCAGAAATGAGCGGAGGTCTGTGTTGGACGTATATAGGCTGTAACTTTATTCTGTGAGAGCGTGGTTCTTTCCCACTCAAACTGACCCATTCGCGTTACAACCCGATGACGGTAACCTGTCTTAAAATATCTAGATATATCTGACAATTCACATTTACTCCACTACGTTGCTCACACCAACATTGGCTTCCTTTTTTGTACAAAGCGGGATTTCGAAAGTAGGATTAATATTAAGCGCGTGGATTGTGGTTCAACACCGAGAAAGTCAGAGGAAGTCCCGTGTAATGGCGGTGTAAGAATAATATCCACTCCCCATTTCATCCCATGTCGTATGAGACGACAGAGCGAAACATACATGAGATGGACAACAGCGTCTTGCCAAAAATGAAGAATATTTTACAAAATTAAAAAAAAAAAAAGAAAAAAAATATAGAAATATTGTATTTTTAAAAAGGGTGTATATAAAATTTAACATTTGACCCCCCATTTTTTTTTTTTAAGGAAAATACTAGAAAGTAAACTGCGGTTATAAGCACGCCTGCCAAACGTGGCAACTATGGCAAATGACGAGATAATTATTTATTATTAATATGACGAGGTAATTTATAGGGATGCCACAAATATATTTAACAGTGAACTTTGATAGCGGCACGAAAGTCTAGCGATGACCGTTATTGTGCATAAGTCGAAAATAAGGTATCATGGAGTAGTAAGCGGGTCGCGAGGCGGGCGTGCATATCGTCCGTACACGCTGATCATTATCTGTGCGTATCGTTCGCACGCGCTGATTGGCTCCTGTTACTTGCGTACGGCTAAGGCAATTGGCGTACTGATACGACATGCGCAGGTATTCCCTCCACGTTTCGTTCAGCGCTAGATTTACGTGCCGCGACTTGTATGCTGTAATGAATTAATAAAAGTCATCATCTTCCTATTAACAGACTTGAACTATAAAACTGCAGTTTCTAACTCGCCTACCAAACAAGAGGCAATTTATGAAGAGGCCTATGTTTGATACGTGGTAGAGCCACGCTGCAGCTATATTATGGTTGTTACACGAATGGGTCAGTTCGACCGGGGAAGGAACCTCTCATCCACTACGCTTAATACTGCTGTGTTTCGTATGGTAAGTGTAGAGATCCGGATATCCATTTTTTACTGGAAACAAGGCATTCCATCTTAGTCCTCAGGGGTAACAACGCATTTGCGTTTTGATTCTTAATCGACAATAAATGTAGATGTCTATGGGCCAGAACATACACTTACCATCAGGTGGACTGTGTGCTCGTTTGTTACCCTTGTTCTATAAAACAAATGTTCAGCAGTGAATTTTACAGACTGTAATGAATGAATAAAAAGTGGATGAAGATAGGCTGACGGCGAAAGTGATAATGAATAATCAGCCGTTATTCCGTTACACACTAACATACTATGCTTTCATTTGTTCATATTCAAATTTCTTTATTTGCCATAAATAGGGTAAGTACTACGTTTTTACAATAAAAATTAGTTGCTTAAAAACCTATTTAGACATAAGATACAGCATGAAAACTTTTCGAAATTACCAAATATTGGTCAACTTATTCAGTGTAATTTATTGCTTCCTTGTTTATATAGAGATAAGTGAATTTGTATAATTCATAATGTTATAATTTATAATGTCAATGTCGTAATTTAAATTTAAATGCATTCAGTTATTAATTATAGATCATATACAAATAGCGATACGCAGTGATTCACAGCAATTATATCATCATATGTCAACATGCATATTATTAACATTTTGATTTTTTTATTAGCCATTTACCTAACTTTTTGGTCATGAGACTTATCGAGCCGTGCTTGAACTGCTTTGGGGTTTTATTAAACATTTTACACGCATGCAGGAATAACCTTTCTGTTAGAAGTTTTTGGTTTATGGTCTAATAGCTCGGCCACACTAGGAGTATGCTCCTCGCACCGCTCATCGCTCTGCTCCGCGCGCTGCCGCGACGTTGCCCTCTCTGCGCACACACTGCTCTACTCGCGCCATTAATGTATTGACTCAGCCACACAATGCTCCTCGCGCTGCCGCGATGTTGCCCTGTCTGTCCACACACTGCTTTACTCGCGTAATTAATGTATTGGCTCGGCCACATTATGCTCCTCGCGCTGCTCATCGCTCTCCCCCTCGCGCTGCCGCGATGTTGCCCTCTCTGTCCACACACTACTCTACTCGCGCAATTAATGTATTGGCTCGGCCACACTATGCTCCTCGCGCTGCCGCAATGTTGTCCTGTCTGTCCACACACTGCTCTACTCGCGCTATTAATGTCTTGGCTCGGCCACACTATGCTCCTCGCACTGCTCATCGCTCTGATCCTCGCGCTGCCGCGATGTTACTCTGTCTGTCCACACACTGCTCTACTCACGCTATTAATGTATTGGCTCGGCCAAACTTGCTCCTCCACTACTCTCGCTCTGCTCCTCGCGCTGCCGCGATGTTGCCCTGTCTGTCAACACACTACTCTACTCACGCTATTAATGTATTGGCTCGGCCACACTATGCTCCTCGCTCTGCTCCTCGCGCTCCCGCGATGTTGCCCTGTCTGTCAACACACTGCTCTACTCACGCTATTAATGTATTAGCTCGGCCAAACTATGCTCCTCGCACTGCTAATCGCTCTGCTCCTCGCGCTGCCGCAGTGTTGCCCTGTCTGTCCACACACTGCTCTACTCGCGCTATTAATGTATTGGCTCAGCCACACTATGCTCCTCGCACTGCTCATCGCTCTGATCCTCGCGCTGCCGCGATGTTGCCCTATCTGTCCACACACTGCTCTACTCGCGCTATTAATGTATTGGCTCGGCCACACTATGCTCCTCGCGCTGCCGCGATGTTGCCCTGTCTGTTCACACACTGCTCTACTCACGCTATTAATGTATTGGCTCGGCCAAACTATGCTCCTCGCACTACTCATCGCTCTGCTCCTCACGCTGCCGCGATGTTACCCTGTCTGTCAACACACTGCTCTACTCGCGCTATTAATGTAATGGCTCGGCCACACTATGCTCCTCGCACTGCTCATCGCTCTGCTCCTCGCGCTGCCGCGGTGTTACCCTGTCTGTCCACACACTACTCTACTCGCGCTATTAATGTATTGGCTCAGCCACACTATGCTCCTCGCACTGCTAATCGCTCTGCTCCTCGCGCTGCCGCAATATTGCCCTGTCTGTCCACACACTGCTCTACTCGCGCTATTAATGTATTGGCTCTGCCATACTATGCTGCTCGCACTGCTCATCGCTCTAATCCTCGCGCTGCCGCGATGTTGCCCTGTCTGTCCACACACTGCTCTACTCGCGCTATTAATGTATTGGCTCGGCCACACTATGCTCCTCGCGCTGCCGCGATGTTGCCCTGTCTGTCCACACACTGCTCTACTCGCGCTATTAATGTATGGGCTTCGGCCACACTATGCTTCTCGCACTGGCTTATCGCTCTGCTCATCGCCCTCGCGCTGCCGCGATGTTACCCTGTCTGTCCACACACTGCTCTACTCGCGCTATTAATGTATGGGCTCGGCCACACTATGCTTCGGCCTCGCACTGCTTATCGCTCTGATCCTCGCGCTGCCGCGATGTTACTCTGTCTGTCCATACACTACTCTACTCGCGCTATTAATGTATTGGCTCGGCCACAATATGTTCCTCGCACTGCTCATCGCTCTGCTCCTCGTGCTGCCGCGATGTTGCCCTGTCTGTCCACACACTGCTCTACTCGCGCTATTAATGTATTGGCTCAGCCACACTATGCTCCTCGCACTGCTCATCGCTCTGATCCTCGCGCTGCCGCGATGTTGCCCTGTCTGTCCACACACTGCTCTACTCGCGCTATTAATGAATTGGCTCGGCCACACTATGCTCCTCGCGCTGCCGCGATGTTGCCCTGTCTGTCCACACACTGCTCTACTCGCGCTATTAATGTATGGGCTTGGCCACACTATGCTTCTCGCACTGCTTATCGCTCTGCTCCTCGCGCTGCCGCGGTGTTGCCCTGTCTGTCCACACACTGCTCTACTCGCGCTATTAATGTATTGGCTCGGCCACACTATGCTTCTCGCACTGCTCATCGCTCTGCTCCTCGCACTGCCGCGATGTTACTCTGTCTGTCCATACACTACTCTACTCGCGCTATTAATGTATTGGCTCGGCCACACTATGCTCCGTGCACTGCTCCTCGCTCTGCTCCTCGCGTTGCCGCGATGTTGCCCTATCTGTCAACACACTGCTCTACTCGCGCTATTAATGTATTGGCTCGGCCACACTATGCTCCTCGCGCTGCCGCGGTGTTGCCCTGTCTGTCCACACACTGCTCTACTCTCGCTATTAATGTATTGGCTCGGCCACACTATGCTCCTCGCTCTGCTCCTCGCGCTGCCGCGATGTTGCCCTGTCTGTCCACACACTGCTCTACTCACGCTATTAATGTATTGGCTCGGCCAAACTATGTTCCTCGCACTGCTAATCGCTCTGCTCCTCGCGCTGCCGCGATGTTGCCCTGTCTGTTCATACACTACTCTACTCACGCTATTAATGTATTGGCTCGGCCACACTATGCTCCTCGCACTACTCATCGCTCTGCTCCTCGCGCTGCCGCGATGTTGCCCTGTCTGTCAACACACTGCTCTACTCACGCTATTAATGTATTGGCTCTGCCACACTATGCTCCTCGCTCTGCTGCTCGCGCTCCCGCGATGTTGCCCTGTATGTCAACACACTGCTCTACTCACGCTATTAATGTATTAGCTCGGCCAAACTATGCTCCTCGCACTGCTAATCGCTCTGCTCCTCGCGCTGCCACAGTGTTTCCCTGTCTGTCCACACACTGCTCTACTCACGCTATTAATGTATCGGCTCGGCCAAACTATGCTCCTCGCACTGCTAATCGCTCTGCTCCTCGCGCTGCCGCGGTGTTGCCCTGTCTGTCAACACACTGCTCTACTCGCGCTATTAATGTAATGGCTCGGCCAAACTCTGCTCCTCGCACTGCTCATCGCTCTGCTCCTCGCGCTGCCGCGATGTTGCCCTGTCTGTCAACACACTGCTCTACTCGCGCTATTAATGTATTGACTCGGCCAAACTATGCTCCTCGCACTGCTAATCGCTCTGCTCCTCGCGCCGCCGCGGTGTTGCCCTGTCTGTCAACACACTGCTCTACTCACGCTATTAATATATTGGCTCGGCCAAACTATGCTCCTCGCACTGCTAATCGCTCTGCTCCTCGCGCTGCCGCGGTGTTGTCCTGTCTGTCAACACACTGCTCTACTCGCGCTATTAATGTAATGGCTCGGCCAAACAATGCTCCTCGCACTGCTCATCGCTCAGCTCCTCGCGCTGCCGCGATGTTACTCTGTCTGTCCATACACTACTCTACTCGCGCTATTAATGTATTGGCTCGGCCACACTATGCTCCCGCACTCTCATCGCTCTGCTCCTCGTGCTGCCGCGATGTTGCTCTGTCTGTCAACACACTACTCTACTCGCGCTATTAATGTATTGGCTCGGCCTAACAATATGCTCCTCGCACTACTCATCGCTCTGCTCCTCGCGTTGCCGCGATGTTCCCCTGTCTGTCAACACACTGCTCTACTCGCGCTATTAATGTAATGGCTCGGCCAAACTATGCTCCTCGCTCTGCTCCTCGCGCTGCCGCGGTGTTGCTCTGTCTGTCAACACACTGCTCTACTCGCGCTATTAATATAATGGCTCGGCCAAACTATGCTCCTCGCACTGCTCATCGCTCTGCTCCTCGCGCTGCCGCGATGTTCCCCTGTCTGTCCACACACTGCTCTACTCGCGCAATTAAACAAAACAGCCAGCAGACAACTCGCCTGCATTTCGGGACGCGGGTTCCACCAGATGGTTCTGCCCTGCTTGAGAATATGTCTGCCGTGGTGCACCCAGTATGCCAACTCTGGATCAACGAGGTCTTTGATGGTATGCCCTTGATAGAACGGGTTCTGATTGAAGTTCATATCTATAATACAAAAAATAATTAATATTGTTATTGATGTTTTTATATAAATGTATTGGTTCTCTATTTGGTAGAGTTCGGCTCGACCGGGAATGGAAACGCTATCACAAAATATCAGCGTATAATTAATGCCGCTGATTCGTATGGTGAGTGTTAAAGTAGTATCAAATGGGATCTCGTGAAGACCCACCCAACAATTATTCCTTGTGTAAATCCGGTCAGTTCGTAGAATAACGCTGCAGTTATATTATGTTTGTAGCATGAATGGTACGGTTCGACCGGGAAAAGACTACGCTATCACAGAATACCAGCGTAAATAGCAGTCCAATACTACTACATTTTCTGTGGTGAATGTAGAGAATCCCCTGTTTCTGGTAATAAGGCATTCTATCTTAGACTTCACTGGTGACAACACCCCTGAAGATATCTGAATTTGATTCATGATCAAGGGTAGATGTAGGGCTAGAGATCACGACATCTATTTACCATCAAGTGAACGATGTACTTGAATCAAAAGAAGCTTGCAGTGCAAAAACATGGAATACGTCTAAGCGGTGCTTAGTAGTCGTAGATAACTGATCTGGCTTGCACAGACCGTATGGGTACCTGCTAGGTACCTTTTTTTATAGGATAGGGTGACAAACGAACACACAGTCCACCTAATGGTAAGTGGTTGCTGTGGCCCATAGACATCTACATCTATCCCCGATTACGAATCAAAATGCAGATGCGTTGTCACCCGTGAGGACTAAGATGGAATGCCTCGTTTCCATTAAAAAGGATCTCCGATTCTCTCCACTCACCATACGAAACACAGCAGCATTAAGCTACTATTTTACGCTGGTATACTGTGAGATCGTGGTCCTTCCCCGGTCGAGCCGACCAATTCGTGCTACAACTATACTACTAACAAAGATTTAAATAGTTTGATGCGCCTTCATCTTGAAAACTGTGGCATTATTTTTGGATGTGTTCGTTTGCAAGACGTTGACGCGCGCACACTAATGCAATAGTGTCATCTCTTATTATCTTACAGAAATTGTGTTTACTACTTTCTCTGTCGCACAAATGAGCACTGATTGTGAATGAGTGAGCTCACTCATTTGAGAATGGCCACATTTCGGAATGGTCATGCTATGGTAACGGCGCACTTAACTATTTAAATCTTTGAGTTCTAATATAACTGCAGCATGGCTCTACGGCGTACAAATATTTATATTTTCGACTTGAACTCGCTGTCTTTTCAGTCTTGACACGCTACGGTGTTATTTGGTGACGAAACGGTCTACTAGACATTGTTGTACATTAACGTTATTGAATATATTTTTTACGTGTGCCGTTACAGTATAACTACGAAGTACTATTATTTATTCTGTGGTATAACGATCATCGTATGGAACGTTGTAGTGGGAAAAGACCTATAAATTGTTATTAGCAATTGGATATTTGACATATTAGTCAATTGAAAGTCAAATCACACATTCCTATGTAAATTGTATAAAATTTAGAGTAATAAAGTCATAGTCTTTATATTAAGTAAAATGAGTATTTTACTATTAAATATTTATTGACTATTAAATATTTAAAATATAAATAAATAAGTTACAAAAAATACAATAAACATTTTAACATAAAATGAAAAATCAACTAAGTTTTAGGTCGCTACTAAAATTAGCAAATTTAAATTTAGTAATGTAATTTATTAATGATGGTGTCAACTATACAATTTCAGTGGCGCTTACGAGTTCTAATCGTCTTTCTCAAATATTTATGGAATTTTAAGGCTAGTGCTTAACTCTTGAGCCGATTACAAAGCCGTTGGTATGTTAGTAAGAAAGATTCAAAGCGAGATACCCCCGGCTTCCTCCAAGTCGATGTCCTCCTCCTCCTCCCCAGAGCCGAAGGTGTAGAAGCCTTGGGGCGATATCGATGTGGCAGCGGCGATGCGCGCGATCTGAGCACGCAGGTAGTGACGCTCCGTGCCTTCGAATAGCGGGAACGTTTGTACCTACATTTGTTTTAAACACATAGTATACGTGGTAGAGTCACTTTGTAGCACAAATGAGTCTGCTCGACTGGGACAGGACTACGCTCTCACAGAATACCAGCGTGAAATAGGAGCTTAATGCTGCTGTGTTTCGTATGGTGTGTGTAGAGAACCTGAAACCTTTGTTACTGGAAACGACGCATTCCGTCTTAGTCCTCAAAGGCGACAGCGCATTTGCATTTTGATTCTTAATTGAAGATAAATCTAGAATGCTATGGGCCACAGTAACCACTTAACATCAGGTGGACTGTGTGCTCGTTTGTCACCCATTTTATATTATAAATAATGATCTTCATATTTTTATTAAACCCCTAGTGTCGTGTAGTAGCGGCGTAAAAGAAACCACTACCACATATAATTCCGTGGCTGGTAACTGACTTTACGGTTCTGGGTTCTAGGCCTTCTGAGCCTATCATTTCTTTCGGAATCTCCATTTTATATTCTTTTTCTTTGTACTGATTGCAAAACCCTTGGGAGATAATGACGACAGCTCAACCTAGCGGACAGTTGATGACGACAGCATTGAGTTATAGACGACAGCCACTCAAGTTCATAATGCGCCCAAGCGATCAAAATAACTTGAGGTTTATATCGACATCAAAGCACTTATTTCGTCGTTTTCTCTAATAGTCCAGTGGGCACTTAATTCATAAAATCGCATCACTTTTACGAATCAAAATCCACTTCAAACCATTATTCAAGCGACAAAACAGGGGCGACAATCCGTCTACGACCAAGTTCCTGCCAAAATTCCTACTTTCTAATATCGTAAGATACGACACAGTGAAATGAAACAGGAGATGAATACTAACGTTTTTTTAATTAAATTGTAGTAACAAACGCACTTACAGTTACAGGCTACTTCAATCCATGGACAACAGCAGGCAACTTCAGACAAAAAAGTCTACAGATGCTTTGTCACATGAGGACTAATATGGAATACCTATCTCACAACCTATAATTGTACTAGCTCTCTATACTCTCCAGACTGGAATGCAGTAGTGAAAGCGCTGCTGTTTGGCGGAAGAATCGGAAAGAGGGCGGAACCTACCCAGACTCCGAACCAAGGGCTCCTTAGCAAAAAGATATACTACTATAAGTACTCGTAAATGATCTAATTTTCCCGATAACAACTCAAACATTTTGGAAAATCCAAAAGTGCACACCCCAATCGCTCATGTAATATTTTAATTTTTAATATTTTGTAATATTTTAATTTTTAATATTTTATTTAAATGGATTGCAGAAGTGATTATCAAAGGAACTAGCTCTACATGATTCTGAAAATGGTGAAAAAAAATTAGGCCGTTTTGTTAAGTAGTTCTCGAGACATCTTGTACACAGATAATTTATGAACCACAGACTAAAGTACATCCATGATATAATTTTTTATCGGACTTTTTTATAATAATACGTGACGTTGAATTAAAAAATACATCAGGCTTGTTCATTAATGTTTCTTCTTTCTAATCATGTACTTTCCATACCATATTAGTAAAGTAAAGCTACAGCTTATACACGTCCCACTACTTGGCACAGGCCTCCCCTAATTTCTGAGAGGGTTTTAGGACAAGGAAGTGTCCGCCGCGCTGCCCCAATGTGTGTTGTAACATATTAGTGTGATGTAAAAAATTCGCTAGAGTCCAACCTCTACTGCTTCGACAGTCTCGCGAGTGCGATATAGGGGAAAATTGATGGTAACAGCCACGCTTACCAAGCGTGGAGCCGCAGTTACATCAAATATCGCCAGTGGCAACGGGGAGGGCTATGTTCAGCAGGATTTTTAAAATAGTAATCAAAAGATGACGAATGAACCTTTGTAGCTAGTTAATATTCTTTATGATCTAACCTCAGCGTCCAGATCTCCGGTCATGGCGCGCAAACTAAGCCGCGCCACACGAATTTGTTCCGGAGTCGCGTCCGGGAGACAGGTCCATGGATCACCAGGCAAATTACACACCCAATACACCTGTCAAACACTATTTTTATTAGCTTCGCGTGTATCTATCTACTTATCTATGTGTCTACCTATCTATCTATGTGTGCACTGTCGTCGCACCACAGGCGAAACACACCGAAGCCTAAATCAAAGTTCTGAAGTTAGTACGCTATATATAATACCAAATATTAGATGGAACATTGGCCGCTCCCCAGACTGCAAACCTCGCCAAGCGGGAGATCTTCTCTTTTCCTTCTACGGCCAAACAATCGGCGGAATCTTATGTAACTTTCACCAAGTTTTAGAAGGCCGATTTACTTAGAAATTTGCACTTGTAGCAAGGATCGGTAGACAATACAATATTGTAATGACAACCCAGTGCTCTCACCAAGATTATCACAGTTCATGAGCAATGCGTGTTGTTTATGTTTCATTAAACTCTTATATTTTTAGTCTCGTATCGGTAGGCAAAGTGTATCAAAAAAAAAAGTGTAGGCAAAGGGCATCCTCTGGATGGAGTAAAGACCTGGTAAAACATGCAGGAATCGATGATGATATTGGCATACCTTACATGAGGCCTATGTTTAGCAGTGGACTTGTGAAGGGCTGTTATGATTGGAATGAATGAAAATTTTTAATATATCTGTCATTAATATCTATTGACATCTATTAACAATTCTTAGTAAAACGCTCGTACCTACAATCTCCTTGTCATGGAGTATAGAGGTAAGGATAACCATCTCACATAGAAGAATATTTGTAAATGTGTCCATCTTTAAGCAGTAAATAACAGTTCAAAGGAGTAGCTAGAGGGTATGAAATGAACTTATCAGTTGTCGACGGAGTGAAGTGTGCTGAGCTGAGGAATTTAATATTTGTGGTGACTAGAGTAGTGGATGAAACTGCAGTATTTAAAACCTCAACTATTCACGATGTTTAAAATAATTTAGTAAATATAACCTAGAAAAAGTCGCCGTGAACGACGTCGAGAGCAATTTTGAAAATAAAAAGTTCATTAGCTATATTTTGGATGAAGCACGAATGGGTCAGCACGGCCGGGGAAGGACCACGCTCTCATAGAATACCAGCGTAAAATAGCTGTGTTTCGTATGGTGAGTGTAGAGATCCGGAGACCTTTTTTTACTGAAAACAAGGTATTCCATCTTAGTCCTCAGGGGTGACAACGTATCTGTGTTTTGATTCTTAATAACCAATCAGGTGGACTTTATGCTTATTTGTCAACCTTATTCTATAAAAAATATTTATTATAAAAAAGAACTATGGTAAAAGTCTGTGCAATGAAAAATTATAAAAAGTTCTTTAAATTTTACCCTCTAGCTACAGTGGCGCCACCCTTATTTAGCACTTTCCTATGGACACTTTTTAACACAGAGAGGGTTCTCCTTACCTCTACACTCCACGCACTTTGTAGAGTGATGTTTTTTATATAATTGAGGGTAAACGAGCATGCGGCTCACCTGATAGTAAGTGACTGCCGCCGCTCATGAATAACTGCCATGCCAGAGGAATTGCAGGTCCGTTGCCGGCCTTTTAAAAAAGAGTAGGTTCTTTTCTTGAAGAATAGTTAATATAAGTGATGGTAAACGGCCATGCGGCTCACCTGATGGTAAGTGACTGGCACCGCTCATGAACAACTGCAATTCCAGAGGAATTGCAGGTGCGTTGAGGTGCTTTTAAAATAGAGTAATCTCTTTCCTTGAAGAATAGATAATATATTAATAGTTTTCAGTGCCTACTTAGTCTTTTGTAAGAATCTTTTTCACGAAAAAAAGGAATATAATAACGGATTAAAAATGACAGAAATGTAATGTTATATTAGAAATAACCTTTTTGTTAACGCCTTGGCCGGGTCTTTCGACCGGTATGGTAGGTTTCGGTTGCCATGTAGATAAAGGTATGGGAGGCAACTTAGGAGGCACTGGCTCCTTCGGCTTCTGTGCCTGTGCCTCTTCTTCTCCTTCTCCCACTTATGTAAAAAGAAGATACGGTTAACGGCAAACTGTATAGGTTGATGAATGATTGTTGTTAAGGAGATTCCAGTTTGATTTCGACTGCCGTACAACAACAACTTACGAATACTGAAATCAAAATTAGCGTATTGTTAGATATATTTATTTATTGGACGTGATAAACTAAAACATTATTTTTTCAATTCTGATATAGTTTTGAAATTAGGTACAATTTTTGGTCTGATCTACAGAGAACCACCGAATAAATAATAGTACTACGTAATAGACCGGGCTTAAAGTATCTTGAGTAGCAGTAAGCTTGGGATTGGATTTAATTTTATTATTAAAACTTTAATAATAAAAATATCCTCGAGAAAGCCGAAACAGATAAGCAAACAAAATATCTAGACCTGGCTCACGAGGTGACTGACATGTGGGGTGGTTTGCCGACCGAAATTATTCCTGTAGTCGTTTCTGCAAACAAAAAACTGGGCTAATCCCAGTCAGTCTCTCGGTTCATCTGAAGTGGCTGGGACTCCGAGACGGAACGCTCCGGGCTCAAATGCAGAAGGCGGTGCTCCTCGATACCGCCCGCATCGTAGGTCGGTTTCTTTCCCTTTCCCCCTAACCCTTGGCCGTTTGGTCTCCCCTGCCGAGGGCTTCCACTTGGTTGGGCTTTTATTTATTTATGTATTATTTATTTATTTATGTTAGTATATTAAATATCATATATTTATGTATATTTACTATACTATTAATACCCTGAAATAATATCCTCCAGAGGTATTTTCAGTCACAGCAGTCAGTCTCAACAGAGACTAGGCAAATCGATACGACCGGAGAGAGATCAGGCGCAGGACCAACGGCTTTATCTATAGTCCGGGGGTGAGATGGCTGAGAATTTCTTGTCTGAAAACCCCAATAATTGATTTTGATCCGATCCGGGGTTCGAACCCGGGACTTCATATGATCAGTCGCTTTTACGACCACTAGACAAAAAACATTACCACGTTAATGTCAAACAACTAAAAGATGAACGATGATATGAATGAAGATTCACTTTGCATCAACTGAAGATGGGTTGAGCGTAAGACGTTCTTAGAAGATCAGCTCGATTGATCCTTATTAAAACATCAAACATAGTCATCAGTCAAGTAATATTTACCATGTTTTAATTTTCTTTATATTTCAGTCTTAGACGGAGGTTTATCAACCAAATTGGCGATATGGCCAAGTTAAGATTACCCTTAACCGACGAGCATGTATTCGTAGATATATGGATGTAACCCGTAGACTCTGCCAACGCGATTCACGTCACGCTTGGATTGATCTCAGTTTAATTTTAGGTTCTTATATTTAATTCCCGACGTTGCACTATGAGTGACTGTGGGTGCTGCAAAGCACTCAAAACATCGAGAATTAAAATGAGTTAAATTAAACGCGACAAAATCGATTAAAATAGTTAATATTATATCGTATATCATTACGTGATAACAAAAATAATATGTCACGTTGGTAACATACAGATATCCTTATGTTCCTCGCCTTGCTCCTGCACGCGTTCTTCGTCCAAACCCTCACCCTCGCCAGGCATGTCTTTCATATCAAACTCCTAATCAAAATAAACAACAATAACTTTATTATTATTATTGAAACAACTGATGTAAGCCCGTATCCTATTTTCAAATGTGGAATTTTTCTAATTTTAGACGTTTATCTAATTTAAGAAACTTTAATAATAGAATCTGGCGTTACTTTATCGGAAACATTAAATTAAAGATGTTAATTTTTTTATAGAATAAGGGTGACAAACGAGCACACAGTCCACTTGATGGTGGTAAGTGGGTGCTGTGGCTCATAGATTACGAATTAACCTCGATTAAGAATCAAAACGCAGATACGTTGTCACTCCTGAGGACTAAGATGGAATGCTTCGTTTCCCGTAAAAAAGGGTCCACCATACGAAACACAGCAGTATTAGGCTGCTATTTTACGTTGGTATTCTGTGAGAGCGTGGTCCTTCCCCGGTCGAGCCGACCCATTCGTGCTTTAATCATAATATAACTGCAGTGTGTGGCCCTACCACGTAAGAAAATTTAGCTAAAATCAGCGTAATAGACAATAAAATGAAGTGTCTTGCTTATTTTGAAGAGCACCACCCGCCCTCCCTCATTCGTGTAGGTACACTATTCCTGTCTACACTAATCCCAGCACCACTACTCTCAACACACACATAGGCACACTTAGCGATCAGCCACCGCAGAGTCTATTTCTCTTAATGATGCCTTGTTTACAGACGAAACACGTGTCGTATTATTGACGTGGCAAGTCTTTCTCAGTGTAGTGGTGTTATGTCGGGAGTAAGTAGTGAAGGGGATGAAGGGGATAGTGACGCAATTGAGAGACGGCGGGAGGAGCAATTGAACTAGGTAATACACATCATTGTTATTTTTACACGGATTTATTTCAGTATAATTTTTTTTATAGGATATGTCGACAAACGAGCACACAGTCCACCTGATGGTAAGTGGTTGTTGTGGCCCATAGACATCCACATCTATCCTCGATTACGAATCAAAATACAGATGCGTTGTCACCGGTGAGGACTAAGATGGAATGCCTCGTTTCCAGTAAAAAGGGTCTCCGGTTCTCTACACTTAGGTTAGGTTATGTTAGGTTAGGTTAGGTTAGATATTTTTTCTAATTCTGTGTATTTATTTAAGCAAATTAGAGTAAAGATGGTAGTTTCTACACAAGACGGACCTAACAGGAGCAAAAAGAACGAAGGAAACCAAATTTTAAAAAAGTTTAAAAAATAAAAAATAATTAATTGATGGCTAAAATTTAATAAAAGAACTATAAGAAAATATGGAAGGCAATTAACTACACTATTTTGAGAAATTTGAACATACGAAATACAGCAGCATTAAGCTAATATTTTACGCTGGTATTCTGTGAGAGCGTGGTCATTCCCCGGTCGAGCCGACGCATTGCTACAACTATACTTCTAATATAACTGCAGCATGGCTCTACCACGTATAAAAATAATATAATGAATTACCGCAGTGAGGCCTAATTCCTACAATTAACATGTATAAAATGACATTTGCTAGATAGTTAGTAATAAATGAAACAGCCAATGAGAAAATCAAACCCGTATTCTCCGATCTAGTTCTTCTATCGTGAGATCAGTCTCTGCCACGTAATAGTTAGCCTTTGTCCCAAAAATCTTTCCGAAGAACCTGAAATCAATACTGAATTCATGACACCTTTCCTCTCTCTAAGTATATAATAATATAAAATTTTCATTTATTTATTTAGTACACCAACAAATGTATAATGTACCGTCACCGTTACAGCCTATTGAGGTGTGTGGACACTCCTCTGCTGAACACAGGCCTCCCCCATTGTAATTTTACTGTTGATTTAATAATTTCACCTCTCAGTAGGTCATGTGCTCCTGGTAGATTGTCTTTCACACATCCATCCATTACATAGTTAGCCTATTTCGAACGTTTATGTTAAGGTATGATGTCTACTGGTCTGACCATTATCCTTTAGTAATAGAATGTAACTTGGATATTGTCAACTCAAAGTTGAATTTTGTGTAAAAAGTGACTAACGAGATTCTATTTATAGATATAAAACCGGAGGAGATCGGAATATATACGAAATTATAGAACCTATATTTTGCACATACACTCGTACCAGCGTTGCGACTGTAAAAAATTGAGTTGCCGTATCTAAAAACGAAAATTGCCGTATTTATGAAAAAAATCCACGAAATTGCCGTAAAGTATTTATTTCTACGAATAATTAAATAAATCACATAAAATCTGAAATTTCTTCACCATATAGGTTTCTGATTGATTGAAAACATCACTCGTTTGTCTATGTAATTAATTTTTTTCTTTGCTTTTCATTTTCTTACACATCATTTGACATTTGAAATTTCGTACAACCTCCTTGATTTTTAACCGCTTGCCTTGCTAATAGAGCTTCGTTGACAGTTGATGTTATCAATTTATTTCTGGATTTTGTTTTCATATTGATTACTTCACTGAAAACTCTTTCGCAATCTGCATTGCTATGTTGTAGATAGACATAATACGTCCAAAGCAAAATTTGCTAATATTTTACAGTCTGTAGTATCTTGGACATTTGCCCAAAATTCATGTTTTTAATTCTAATTCTGAAATTCTGTTTACATTTGGTAGCAACCTCCACTCGTCATCAATTAGTTGCTTATCTGATTCTCTCACAATTCGTGGCAATTGCTGGGCAAGTGGCGACAATGACGGAAAACAACTATAACTTCTTTGTCCTTTTCGCGTGTTTTGAAGTAAGAGTTTAAGCTTTTTGTAGAAAGCCATTCCAACAAAGCCAAATTGGATCCAAGTTTAATTTACTGCCAGAGTGAATACTACAAAAGTACCGTACACATCTTATAGTTCATAATGTTGTACATTCCTTCAATAATATAAACAAAGTAAATATGTGTATCTCTTACGTTCATTACTTCTATCAATGTCTACCATGTGTCATGTTCATGCCATTTTTGTTAGTCTCATAAAATAAAAGATGGAACGGTAATTTCCCGTCATAGACAACCACACTCTTTATCATCACCTAAGGTATGACGAAAGTGAAAAAAAATATGGATATCAATACAGGTATTTATATTTTTTGTTCATAATTTGCCATCGTGGTTTATCGCAAAGCTGAATTGCCGTAATACTTGATACGGCAATGAAAAGCCTGCCGTATGCCGTATAATCTTTAAAAAAATCGTGGAATGCCGTATATTACGGCAATTGCCGTATCGATCGCAACGCTGACTCGTACACTGATTACATTACCATTACATTCCTGCCTTGAGCTCGGTAGACTTCGGACGTATCGGTTGAGGTCACTCCCATCACTCCACTCTACCAGATTATGTGCGCAACCATATTAAGTAATATTATACCTTATACCCGGCTACTGCTTTGAAGTATTTAGTTAGTACCAGTTCTGGCTTACTGATTCAGAAGTGGTACAACGTTCGTCGAGACTCACGTTCCTAAAAAAACTACACTGAACAAGACGCGACACGAAGTAATGTTGAGATAAGCAACAAAATGTGAGATAAGCTTGTTGACGCATAAAGTTACTATCAATTCCACTGCAGAAATTCTTTAGATTAGAATTATTACTTACTGATACTATATAAGACCAAGCAAGTGCAGTCATGGAGTTAGTGTATGGTCGTTTGACCGCAGTGGCTCTATGAATACTACATTTGTGTTACTTCAACGCATCAAGGGCCATGGATGTAAGTGTTTATTCTATTGACAAACTTACTTTTCTTTCTGTTATTTTCTTACGTGTGTATGATTTAGTGTTAACAAATTATATTTAAATATTGTGTGTGTGTGTATACGATTAAGCCGTGGTAGCTCAGATGGTTAGCGCAAGCTGTAAATTTCACAGTACCCGGGTTCGATCCCCGCCGGCACCAGTTAAATTGTTAATTGCAATTTTAAGTGTTTATTCTATTGACAAAGTTACTTTTCTTTCTGTTATTTTCTTACGTGTGTATGATTTAGTGTTAACAAATTATATTTAAATATTATGTGTGTATTATATTAAGCCGTGGTAGCTCAGATGGTTAGCGCAAGCTGTAAATTTCATAGTACCCGGGTTCGATCCCCGCCGGCACCAATTAATTTGTTATTTGCAATTTAACAAATTATATTTAAATATTGTGTTTGTACCGCATCTACGAATACTAGAGTAGTTAAAAAATACTTTTTTAACAATGACAGTCATTAGTTGATCATTAGTGAATGAGATTCTGTTTACTTAAATTACAGGAAGACAAGAGCAGAAGAAAGAAATGGGATGATGGGAAGTAATGAAGCATTGTTATGTGAAGTTTGTTGGAACAAACATATTTTTAGTCACGTGTAAATACTTTTAACATTTTGGTTCAAAATGACACAAAATCTAAAAAATATTAGATACATCATCGACATGGACGGATTTTACATCACATATCCTCATAAACATTTTCAATGTAGAGAAATGGCTATTATAGACGTAAAACTATCTAATAAAAAGGATGCGTTTATCGATCATTATTTGTTTCGGCCAAGTTATCCTTTCAATTATTTGTCACCAAAAGACAAAAAAAACTGTTCGTTATTGTGAAACACACGTGCACGGCATTCCATATTTTGATGTGACCGAAGAATTAAAATGTGCCTACAAACAAGAGAACATCATCCCCATATTAAATTGGTATATTAGAAATTTTTGCAAAGACGAAGTGATCGCATAGAAAAGGTGGTTCAACAGAAAAACAATTTTTAAAAATGTTGACGACGAATGATAGAATTTTTAATATTGAAGAATACAAATGTCCAAAATACAATGATTTGGTAAATCTCATAAATTTAAACAAACGTTATGTGTGTAATAATGATATATTTACAAAAAATAATCACAACATTTTACATTGTTCTTGTGACGAAGTGTGGGTTTTTTACAAGTGGTTACTTAAAATAAAATTTTCAATTAATCATAAATTTTGTTGGATTTCCCAAAAACATTAGTTATAGTACACAAATATATATATATATATATATATATATATATATATATATATATATATATATTAATTGTTTACACCAACACTTTCATTTTTTATTTCACCCCTTAGAACTTTAGACGTGTGTAATGTTTCACTTTATACATCCGTTTACTGCTATTGTGGCAGGACCAAGTGGATGTGGGAAGTCAAATTTTGTAATAAATTTCATAAAATCAGTTACAGAAATATATAATTGTGATTTTAATCAGATCACATGGTGCTTTGATGAAATGCAACCTTTATATAATTTACCAAATGTTAACTATCATCAAGGAATTCCAAATCTTAATATGTTTGATGGTGAAAACCCACATCTCGTTATTATTGATGATCTAATGAGAGAGTCCGATGGAAGAATTGTGGATATATTTACAAAAGGTAGTCATCACAGGAATCTCAGTGTATTTTATTTAACACAAAATTTATTTCATCAGGGTAAAGGGCAAAGAGACATCTTTAAACTCAAGTTATATAATATATTTTAAAAGCCCTCGAGATAAAACTCAAATAAGATATTTAGCACGACAAGTGTCACCAGATAACCCAAAATTCATTAAAGATGCCTACAGGGATGCAACTCTAGAGGCACATGGATATTTAATGGTAGATTTAAAACAGAATACCAATGATTTTTGTCGTATCAAGACAAATGTCTTCCCATTTAATGGTATCTGTACAGTCTACGTCCCCACAAAAGAGTTTAAATACACCAAGAATCAAACAATTCAAATCATTGCTAAATGATGCATCGTCGACTCACAACGCATAAACATTTGCTAAACGCTTTGCATACGCTTAAACCAAAATATCAACGAGCATTACTTAAAAAGTGTGATGAAGAAGAAATTAACTGTATTTGTGAGTGTATTCATAATGTTTTACAAGGAAAAGTACCTCTTAAAGATCAAGATAAACAAAAATTGAATAAACACAAAAATATACTCCGTAAACTAGTGCGTAAGTGTAAACATAAACTAAGAAAAAATATAATTATACAAAAAGGAGGGGCTTTCTTACCAATAATATTAGGTGCAATATTGAGTGGATTAGTGAGTGGACTAGCCAGTTAACATGGAAAATGCAAACAAAATGATACTTATCGAACCTGGATTGATTGAAAAATTAAAACAAGAAAATAAGGTTAAACAGTAGTAGTTTATCTCGATTAGATATTGAAATGCAAAATATTATGAATAGTAAGACGGAAGACCGAAAGAAATGGATGTTATATATACAAACACTGCAAAGATACCTTCATTTTATCGAAGAGGATCGTCAACCACTCAGATTACCAATTTATTCTGATACACCTAATGAAGATTCAAATAAGTCTAAAATTGGTTTTAAAAATAAAGATAGAGATCTAAAAACTTCAGTTGATGCTGAATCTTTGTTGGAGGAGAATCGATCCATTAAAAGTAAAGAAAATGATGAAAATCCACTTTACACACCAGCTCAAATACTCAGTTTAATACCAAAAACTTATAATAAAAAGGGACAGTTATTATTAAACTTAGTTGAAACAAGTAAAAGTAAAATACATTGGGATAGTGAAGGTACAGTCATAATTGATAATGAAAAAATTCCAGGAAGTAATATTGTTGATTT